TTCGGCTTGGAATCATTGGCCACCCGACGTCAAAAAGAGTTACATACTTTAATCATGTGATATCGCTGGATTGTTTGGCCAGGGATCAAGGACTTTCAGCAAAAAGTCTAACTGCCATCGGACGCAGCAGACAAGTAAATGTAAATATTGCAAGATCGCGAGACAGCTCAAGCGGTCAGAATGCTCGCGAATCAAGGTCTACAATTCGACAAGGCGATCTGTTACACATCAGGGTGACTCATATCGAGCACCCTAAAAGTATACAAGTGATACCGTGACGACTTCCACGAGATTACGTCAACCCCGATAGCAATGTCAAGATTTGCACATCGAGATCGAACCTCGACCCCATCGCAAAGACGGTCAAGTTTTCCATTGACATGAGTCCACCTGTAAGAGTGCAACCCGCCCCACCGACGGGTACAAAAGGTGAGGAAGGCTATCAAATACACAAAATCGTATTACTCCCTCCGTTAGTCGATCGTCCAGGCACTAGTGGAGAGTTGGTATCGACTCCTCAAAAGAGCGATCTCCACTCCGCCATATCATGAATGGGCTGCACCACACCGCATCTCTACGCGGCTTAAAGCCAGTAGACGATAGTGTGTGGGGTAGTTTTATTAAATTTCGGGGGATCCATCCGAATGGGGTTCAATTGATTAGACCAGGCAGAAAGCGACTCAACAGTTCTGTTGAACGCCTCATACGAGCCGGCTCACGAAGAAGCTCGTCCTGAGTCTGACGCATAGACTCAGCTGCAGCATGTTCATGTGCCTCGAACGCGTGTTTACGCTATCCGAGTACAAACACCTCGACCTGCTCCAACTGAACAACGTGTTGTTTAGGAGGACGGCCTAAGAGGTCGGGCATGGCTTGCTCACCAAGTCCCTGCGCCATATGCTCCACCACCTCTCGATGGTGTTTCGATAGGTGTTGGATTGAGCCCAACCAATATCGAGGCTCATCTCACTCACGCATGCTGAGAGAGACGGGTCGTGGGAAGGACTACTAGTGCTACCAAGTGTAGACGGGCGCTTATGTCAAGCCGCCACGTACTACGATCACACACCCTAACGCAGTGAGGAAGCGGTTTTACCCGCCTTACTCGCGTGCTGCGGTGAGTTTGGTCGGAGCTAAAGGCGCTGCACTTAACAGTTGCCGGCCTCCTAAGCGAACCGCGCAACGAACTCCCAAGCAGACACCTGGATGCGCCGCGGAATCTATGAATAGTCTTCCACGCGCAGTTAGTGATAGATAAGAAATATAAGACTGACTTATATTAAGATAGAAACTATTATAATATAAACCTAGAACATGATTGGCTAAGACATACAAATGATTAGACGCCATCTCTATAGATGCGCGTCTCCCAATAAAAGTGACGTCTTTTGATGACTTACTTCGATGCCGTCACGAAGACGCCCTGTCCCAATGGACATCATCCCCGTCAAGGGTGGATACAACTCATGTAGATCACCTACACAAGGGCGGGTACACTTAGTGTGCCACACCCAGGTGCTAGCCATGTACTTGTAATCTGTTTCAGTACCTTCCCGCTAATTAACCCTTACTTAGTGGGGGGAATAAGTTTCATTACACTGTTATCCATCAAAAAGCCTTGCTACCGTACTTCGTTTGTCAAAGGTAGAGAGGTAAATCAGGAGTGATACTCAGAAAGTAGCCCAAGGAAAAAGTGAGAGTAAAAAAAGTGTGAGTAGCTATAGAAAAAGAGGAAGGGCAACCAAGGAAGAGGCGAAGAGAAGCACGACAACCAAAAGAGCGGGAACGGATAATGGAAGTAAAGAGGGCCCGGGGTTATGGGAACACAACCCGGAAAGGCAGACCATGATACAGTGCCGTTGCACGCGCAGAAGTCATGTCTTTTTGGTTTAGTGGTTAGGCTCCACGTGTTTGCGGAGGTGGCGCGGGTTCAAATTCGGCTCACTTCATGAGCTTGACCGTAGGAACTGCTTGCGGTAAACACCTCCGGGTGCTGTCGTGTGGGAGTACTTACTTGACTCTTGTACGAAAAAGGACGTCCGTAATTCAAGTCCGCTTGGGGTCCACACTGAAAACCTCCCATAGGAGGCGGCCGGTAGTAGTACTGTAACGGTAGTAGTCGGAGGCGTTAGGGGTACAGCACATCGGTAGTACCCTGATCCCTTCAAAAAGACTTCGCAACAAGTGACTCAAACCGGCGTAAGCCTTGTCCACAAACAGGCGCAAACAGCAATACGATAGTCCAAAATGAAAAATCGTAAGAATGGTTCCATGTCAGTGGCGAGTGCAAAAGGCAATGTCCAATGCGAGGACGGAACTGGGCCAAATAAGCCGTCGCAGATAATGGAGCCACAGAGTTATGCAGGATAATTAAATGCCATTGCATACCGGAAGAGGGGTCCGCGGGTAGGCGAAGGTATAGAGTGCCGCAATGTAACTGGAGTAGCCAACCGATGAAGTGCGGAATGGCAGGGGACACCCCAAAAACCGCATCTCCAGGGCGACCGGGCAATACAGCGTCAGGCAGGGACCTGGTAGGCTGAAACTGCCTTAGATGGAGACCAGAGAGCAAAGTGAGGAGTTGCCGCAATGTGATACTGGAATGGCGTAGGCTGCGGCTGGCCAAGTCTTGAGAAAACCAGTCGGTATGGATACAAACAACAGCATGAATCCGAGCTTGAAGACCAAGAAGGTACGACGCAGCGTTATTAAACCGAATATCATTTCGATGAATTCAAAGACAGCGAAGGATGACCACCCGAACAATATGAGAAATCACGAAAAGGCTATATCCATACGTCAGCTGCGCACCCGGTGTCGGCACCACATGGAATAGCAGAAGCGACCGCCAGTCGAGCGAGTAACCAAATAGAGGCGTAAAATGATTGAGCCAGGGGGCCCAGATTCCTTACTTAGTGGGTACGTGTAACCATTGTCCCGTTACCGAAGGTGTACACTGGATAATCTGTTGCATGGTTGAGGCACCTCATGCCGCCGAACAGCAGCTCGTATACATGAAACAGTATACATGCAATTGGGCGTTCGTGCTTTCTGCGTGTTTAAACTACATGGGCTTCCAAAGGTGTCTGAATACTGCCACCAACAACATGCTCGAATAGGGTGCGTTCCAATGGCACATGTTTCACCGGGCGTAATAGCATTTGGCTCAGCGCTGACTGTGGTGCTTCCCCTTCCCCTCCAGCATCAAGCTAGCCGGCAAGCCGACGAGTGCGTTCCCGTGTTACAGTCTGTCACCGGGTAGCGGGCTTTGAGTTGCACCGACATACTCTAACAGAACACCAAGTTTAGGTATGCTGCCGAGCCGCTGCCCATGAGTCACATCTGTACTGTCCGGGACGAGAAAATGGTGCTACGTGCAAGCGGCATGAGGCCTGCAGTGGTCAGCGCGAAGGTCTCATGCATATTCTCTGCGGCTGCGCTAGAGCGAGCAAGTGTTGAGCATGTATTATAGCCAAATGGACACGATCGGGAGCAACGTCTGCTTGATTGCTCGACTGCAAGAAAGCAGCGATCTTCGAACGGCGCCGGAGCGACCTCCGCGGATACGGACTGAATTCGTTCAGATGTTCGTGATACCGCTGACGGTGCAGGCCGAGAATGGATAAATTGGATAGCTTTGTTCAGTCTGTATGATCGATCGCACCCTGAACTCAGCAGAACAGGTGGGCACGTAGGCAGGAGAAGCGACTACCACCGAGAAAAAAGCAACAGTTTGACACATTCTCCTCTAAATTTTCGAGCTGTAATGCTCGTGGAGCAACAGCTTGGCCGGAAAGGCGGCAAAAGTAAATGTCAACGCCTCGCTGCAAAACTGTTTCGGGAGAGAATCACCAATATGCAGCTAGTGGGGTACAACTCATGTAGGCGACAGGAGCCGTCTTTGGGAGCACTAGAGTGTGGCCATGGGGCTTTCCAGAAACCTTGAAAGCCGTAAAGGTAAACCGACAGTCCGCTTCGCTCGCTGCTGTCTCTTTCACCAAATCTTTACTCCCTCCGCCCTCCAAATCCAAGCTTCGAGGCTGCATCACGACGCACGACGACGGTACCTCTCGCAGACGCCATGTTTATTGCCTCGAGCCGATATCGGCGATGCCGCAGCCGTTGTCGAATAAACAGAAATCAGGCGATTGGGGTGCGTGGAGCTTCACTTGGCGCCAGGTGGTCGAGCCTTTCGTGGTGTTCGGCCTTCTTCCTATGGTGGAGGATATCTGATTGGGAATGCAATCCATTGTAGCATCCATTTTACCATTAAGTGGCTCGATGTCCCGCGTGGTTCTCCTAGCAAGGGAAGTGGCCTCGCGCGTTGGAGTTCAGCTCATCTGTCGTGTACAGGAAGTTAGCTCCCTGCATCGTTCCAACTTGTCTGCTGCAACACATTCGAAAGACAGCCACGAAGATCACGATTCGGTTGTGCGGGACTCTTTGTCGAAGTCGGTACGCGGTCGACGACTACCCCACATCTGAATCCATGCGCGAAGAGCCAGCACACACGACATGGGACCGTACAGTAGATGGGCGTACCCGACCGCAGAGGTCTGCGCAAAGCCCATCCGAATCGTGGGAGGATGCACCCACTTTGTGCACGCGAAGCTGTCGTCGATCGTCTTGCGGGCCTTCAGCTTCTTGAGACCTGACCACATACCTCGTGTTTGTATCGACAGCCGGTGCAGAGGTGCAGTCGGTTCAGCTCGTAGACGTCTCTCGTCGTAGCGTTGCAGCGTTGCATCGTACAAGTGGGCTCAACGTCTCAGAGTCTCTGCACCCAAACAGACAGTTGGAAGAGGTAAAAGAGCCGTCAAGTGTCCATCCAGCCGGTCTCGTGGAAGGGTTCCCAACCCACCTGTCCGTTTTGGTGCCAACACCGCTGGATGGAGCTCTCCAGGCTCCAGACTCGAGCACTCGTTCTCGTTCATTGTCCAATTCGCTCAGTGCCACGCACTCCATCTCTCCAGACACCACCACGAACCCCAACGAGCTCCATGGTCTTCTCCTCGAGGGTTTTCTGCTTGGCGACGCTCGCATCGAGTTACGTCGCAGCTCCTACTGCCGCTGAAGCTGTCGCACAGCCGCTCCCATGGGACGGCCGCGGCTTTGACCTGACGGTGGACACGCTCGAGGACAAGTACATGACCCACATTCTCACCATGCGCAACAATAAGGAGGACGGGAAGCCGTCGGACTACGTCACGATCGACCAGAAGGGCCGCTCGCCCGCGTACAATGGCGACACGGGCGTCATCAACGTCGCCGTGGACGCTAAGGCCATTTTCAAGACGCAGAAGGACTTTCGTCGCTCGGAACTCGTGCAGAACATCAGTTCCAATGCTCAGGGCACGACGTTCTTCCGAACGAGTATGATGAAAGAAGAGGCGTTCCTGAACCCGTATGCGTGGCAGGCGATCTTCACCGAGTCGCACATCTTTGAGATCCGCGTGGACGCCAGCAAGAGCCCCGCGAAGCTCATCTACCTCAACAACGGTACGTGGGACCCCAAGTGGGAGACTGAGTTCGTGCCGGGCACGTGGTACAACTTTGGCTTTGCCATCAGTGCTGCTGCCGCGGGCAAGGGCTCCGTGGTCAAGTTCTACATGAGCGAAGGTGACAAGGACTTGGCTCTCACGAAGACCCACGAAGTGGACACGGAGTTTCCGCCGTGGCACGAGTTCCACTTCGGGCTTCTGACCCTCTCGGACGACAAGAGCGAGCCCAAGATGAACGCCAAGCAGGACATCATGTCGTTCAATGGCGTGTCAGTCGAAGATGAAGTGGTGACGGCTGCTACGATCTCGGCTTCTGGAGCTGCCGGCGGCAAAGCGCCTACCACACAGGGCGAGACGGTGGTGAAATCTACCGCCGGAGGCATGGCGTCGCTCGCGGGTAACTGTGCGACCAAAAAGTAACTGTGCATTGTACCGAGCGTCTCGAGTCCGCCGGAGGGGACGCTGGCTGAGTGGTGGCGACGTCTACTTATCTGTGCTAGTCTCACGAAGGCCTTACCCGATAATGAATGGATGTTTGCTGATCTTTTGCATTGATCACCATGACTATGAATGTAAGAAGTGGTCTGCCACTCAGTCAGTCATGCAAACAGTGACGCGTTGTATGAGTCTTGTACTTCGTTGCTCTCTTGTAAGCTGACAGCAACAACTTGAACAGTAGTGGTGTTGCCTTCACATACTATAAAGCAAAAAGCGTCGGAGGTGTTGGTGTTGGGAATATGTAATGGAAGAGCGCGGGCGCTATTAGCTTAGCACACTTACCTTAGCTGACGGTGTTATCCTGCAGCATACAATAAGTTGTCTGCGTATGCGAGAATGCCATACCTTGTTGATAGCACGCTAACCAAAGCACACTTTACCTTCTAGTCGCAGTATGTCAAACTATGTGAGGGTATTGCCGTCCTAAAGCTGTTCGTAGCTGCGTTGTATCCCAAAGCGCCATCGACAGCAAGTCAATCATACACTGGAAAAGAGCGCCACGGCGTTTTATTTCTGCTTGATGACACGATGTACTTATGCAGCACATGGCTGCTATGCGTAGTCGAGCTTCGTTTGCTTGACACTCTCGTAGCGCTTAGCCGCTAGTAGCATCTCCGTCGCACGTCAGTTCGTTCAGCTCAACGAAACTTTCGGCTTCATCAACTTCTGTCTAGAGAGCAGAGTGTACCGTCAAGTCTTTGACGTTCCTATCACACCGATAAAACGGTGCCATTCAAGCTCTTGTCACAACTCTGCAGATGCGTACGAGGCGGTTGTTGTCGCTGTCAACGCTTCTACACAGTTCCGTTTCTACGTACGAAGATCGATCGACTTGCTGTCCCATCGACGGGATTGTTGACGGCTTCGTTTCTGCACGTGCCGGTCGGATAGCTTGAGGTCTTTTTGCACATGTGCAATCGACGATGCACTGGCTTCTCTCTTCTCCTGCAGCATGAGGTGCACTTTTCCCAGACGTTGTCGCACTGCTTGGCGCACGTCTCGATTGAAGCAATCGATCATCGGATCTGCTGGAAAATTTGAGCAGAAGCAGCTGTGACAACGGAGACATGTTCCCATGCAGCGAGGTGAGAGCTGACGTTCTCTGCATTAGCGCACGACTTGGGGATAGGTACTGGATAAGTGAAAGTCGCTCGGCCCATGCGATGCTTTAAGCGACAAAGAATGTATTCCGGACGATCAACTACCGCACAACTGGCCGCACTGCTCTCGATGTCCGTAGTAAACGCGTTCGTCCGCGAGTCGCGTTACCCGTCATACAGATCTTCTACGGACTTACTTGACGTTTGCAACCCTTTCGCATTGCAGACACAATATGTACGCAGCTTCATGTGGAGCATATGTCGACACGTGCCGGACCCAGTAGCACTCGACGTTCGTTGAGAATGAGTGTCGAGGTCGTTGTCAGTCACCTGCTTCGGCAAAGGTTTGGTTGCGTGTGTGCGGCTTTCTCGGCATGAAAACAACCTCACTGCAAAGCTACTGATCGTTTTCGCACAAGTCAAACGAAAAGCAAGAAACAGTAGCGTCAAAGCTTTATATGTAGCAAGAGTCGGCAACGGGTGAAGACGCAAAAGCCACATTGTCGGGTATCTACTGGCTGATGGCTTCCGGGCGCTTCACGAGCAACATGCAAAGCACGAGGGACAGACACGCGCTTTGATCTCTTTTGTTACATATGGTGGAACCGGAATGAGGTAAGCGCCAAACTACATTCGCAGGTGCCATTTGAGCCCACCCATGTGCGCTTGGTATGTGTTATGGAGTGTAGCACCTACGTGCTGCCCAGCCAAATTTCCCGCACCCACGACTTCCCGTGACAATCATCGCGGTAGTATCCTGTCCATAAACACTGTCTATCCATTACAGTATCAGTGCGACATTTTGTGCGTGACTTGTGAGCATGTGTTGAGTCTAAAGCGAAAGATGCCACATACTGACGTGACCCGAGCGATGCTTTATCGACTGATACGCGCGCAACACGAACAGCAACAAGAAGAAAGTCATAGTGACAAATATCGGTATCCACGCCTGGTGCTATGCCAATGAGAAATGGTCAGACAGCGTCGCTTCATGTCACCCACGACGACAAGTGCCGCGCAACGACCGGACCTTCAACATGTTCCCAGCGCTGCCAACATGGCTTGAGATCTATCATACATCCTGCAACCACCACAGAGGAATTCAGCACGTCTGCTTCTCGCAAACATTGTTCCTTGCTGCTGCCTTGACACTATGTATGGTATGGGTCAGATATGAGAACTCGTGCGGAAAGACCTCTGTAGCTACTACACTAACTCTCGCGAGCAAGCGACACATGGAAGCAATTCCATCATAAATGTGCTTTGGAACTTAAGAGTCGTAGCTGCACAAAAAGCTAGTTCACTTCTGCTTTGGCTGTGCAATGCTTCGACGTTTCGCTCACGAGATGGCGCTCACACAGCGAGAACGCGTACAAAGTCCGAGAGTGAGTGACGAGGTCTTAGCTTTTCCTTGTGTCATAATCGTAGCGGTCTAACGAACTGAGAGGCCACGAAAATGTACCCAGCAATTCGCAAGCCGACGTCCAGCTGTACGACGTATCGTGCGTGACATCATGAGCTTCGCTACGATGTGAGGAACACCACTGGCGCTCCTGAAGAGAGAGGGCAATTTGCGCACGTACTGGTCGTTTTTATACACGTGCTGCAACCCCTCGAAGAAAAAGTCGGCACAGTTCTCAGCATTGCGACACGGATCGGCGCATGTCTTTGCAGCGCGCTGTCGTACCGTCGTAAGATCGCCTCGTTCCTCAAACACAGCTGGCGGCGTTCTCTAGTCGTTAGGGTTCCCCCACTGCTCTCACTTAACAAACCAGCGTTTGCACAGGGTATTCAGTTACAAAGTGCTGCCTCGCAGGCCACGCAGTCGCTGTATATTATGTTGTATCAAAAACGAGCTTATTAACGCTGTCATGACGCGCAAGACTTCGTTCGCATGCTTACATCGCTTGCTGTGCAATGCCTTGTACTAAATGACGTCCTGAGCCTCCACGTCCTCATATAGAGCCAACTAGACCCTGTATCGCACACTCGTAGCACCAGCCTCACACGCGACTTGCAAAGCCATTCGCGCCTCGCTGCATCCCACTTTATCGGTATCGACAGGGAATTAAGTGTCACAGGAAACCGAACCGCTCGCGGCCGTGCCCAGAGGTACGTCTGCCGACCTGCACGCGTGTTCCTCATTGCGCCTTTTACCGAACCAAAGTCCGAGCTCCGCGTCCCTCATGACGCGCGTCCCTTCGATCGTCGCGTCCAGCGTCGCATGCGCCGGTCTGGCTCTCCTCCTCTGTCTCGCGCCCAGTGTCCACGCTGCAGGCGACCAGCCCGTGCCCTGGGACGGCCGATTCCAGGACCTCACGGTCGCGTCGCTCAATGACAAGTACCTGATGCACATCTTGACCGACCGTCAGAACGGCAAAGTGAAGCCAGACCAGTGGGTGACGGTCACGAGCAAAGGCCGCTCGCCTGCGTTCAATAAGGACACGGGCGTAGCGACGGTCGCCGTCGACGCAGAAGCGGTCTTCGGGGGGCAGACGAACTTCCGTCGGTCAGAGCTGGTGCAAAACGTTGCTGGCAATACGGCCGGCACGACGTTCTTCCGCGTGAGTCTTATGAAGGAAGAGGCCTATGTGAACAAGTACTCGTGGCAAGTGGTGTTCCCCGAGTCGCATCTCTTTGAGATCCGCATTGACGCGACCAAGAGCCCGGCCGAGCTCGTGTGGTACACGGGCGGCAGCACCGAGACGCGCTGGTCCACGGAGTTTAAGCTTAAGACGTGGTACAACTTTGGCATTGCTGTGTCGACGGGCGAACTGGCGCTGTACTTTAGTGAAGACGACGAGGCGCTGGCGCTCACGAAGACAGAGAGCTACAACGGAGCGGTTCCGACGAACTACGAGTTCCACTTTGGCCAGCTCACGCTCTCGAACGATGGCAGTATTGTCAAGATGGCAAAGGAGCAAGACGTGCTGTCGTTCAATGGTGTGTCTGTGGAAGACGGCATCCCGAGCGACGCTGGTGGGGACGCGAAGGCCACGAACTCGACTTCGAGCAGCTCGAGTGCGCCGAGTCCGTCGACGCCAGAGGTCAAAACGGACGATTCGAGTGCTGCGACTCCGACGCCTCCGAAGGAAACACCTGTTGTGAGTGAAGACGAGGAGGAGGAGGAGAAGGAGGAGAGTCAGGCTGGTGAACCACCCAAGGACGCGGCGCCAACGCCTTCAGTTGACTCGAAACCGACCGGCGGCTCGGTCGATGAGAGCTATGACGATGGCAAGTTGGACGACAAAGCCTCTGACGACAACACCGACACGACTACACCTGTGATCACGACTCCGCTGGCGAGTACGACGTCAGGTTGCAAGGTTCGTCGTGGCTGATGGAGAAATACCGCGCCAGGCGTACTCGAGCAACTAAGCAGAGAACAGACGGGCAGATATTTGGCACAACGTTTGTACAGTTTTTGCGGGCATAACAAAGTTGCTTCAGTCGTGTGATCGTTGATGTTTCTTGCTTTAGATCACGTAGATCCATGCTCTGTTGCAATAATGCTTCTGTCCCCACGAGCACAGTTGTGGAAGTATGCACGTTTGCACTAAGTAATCATTCGTCGATGTAAATGCATTCGTCGAGGCCCTGGAGTGCAGTGCTTCACAACTGGTCTGCTCTTGTCTTGCACCAATGGACCGCTTTCAGCTAAAGCTAGCAGCAAAGAGTGAATAAAATGGTTTATCCGAGCACAAAGTCGTTGCTAATGACCCAATTTGGCTGTACAAAGCACGAGGGTTCGACGCAACCAACGTATCACGCAAGTGGCCACGAGCTCTCAGCCTCGTTCCTCACTTTACAGCTAATACAGCTGCAAGGACCTTTTTGCAAACGCTACCATGTCTCAGTCTTTTGTGAACTAAAAAATACCAAGTATTTGCCTCAGGTATCTACTATCGCAAACACGCTTCTGATATCGCACTTGGCTCGATACGAGCGAATTGGAAAGTTGGTGCATCACAACGTACGCATGAAGCACGCAGCATCGAGACTTGGGAACTGAAATAAAAAAAAGCTGTAGCCCTTGACGGGATACTCGTACAAGAAGAATTACGTGCAGCGCTGTACACCCCGTTCTCAAACGATCTCATGATATCAAGTCCAGATTCACTGCCACGCTCTCACACACGTATGCGCACACCCGTCAACAGCATAATATTCTTGGAATTGTACTTCGCTTTGCCCACATCTACGATGCTGGATACGCCATATCTATCGACAGGTATCAATTGAAGTGGTGGTAACTCATCTGGTCTGTCTAATCTCGCATACATATTACCTTCAGCACTTACTGAATGGTGGAACAAGGGAAGATTACTTACGGCCTGATGGTCGCCTTTTGTGTCGAAGCATCCAACGAGACTAATCATACTGAGCATCTTACAGTGAACTTCAATCATAATGTTTTTACAAACCCGTTGCCCTCAAAGTGGAGGACGCTAGCATCAGATATCATGGCATGAAGCTGCCGATGCTCCACAGGGCATGTAGTAACGTCGTGAGAAAGACGACTGCACCATTCCCTTGGATTAGATGAAAAAATTACACGGAGTTGATGCGGTGAGTGCTGTGCAACGAGTCCATGTGACTGGTGTGTGAGTAGTTTAATCTCTTGGCGTTAAGTGTTTGGTGCCTCAAGTCGTTCCGTAGAAGATGTGTATGTAATGCCGACTTCCACACGAGGTAGTCCTGGTGGTTGCGCTTGCATCACAGAGCTGGCAATGGGAATCACGCACAATCTCGTTGACTCGGTTTCCAAATTGATAGCGCTTTTGGAGGCTGTTATGTCATCAGCTTAGTCTTTCTACTTATCCGCATGGGTCGGTCGATGTATAGGCGTTGCTTACGTCGCTACAAACGACAATTCAAATGACAGGTCAGTATCTGAGCAGCAAGGCCGAAACGTGGCTGATGAGTGTGTCGAACGTCAAAGCATGTCGGCTTGTAGAAAAATTGTTTGCAAGACGCCGTGAAAGCTGTCTCATCGTAGCTCGTCGCAGTCTCGCTGTTGCATGGCAAACTTTAGCACAGAAGTAATCAGACGACAGATTATAAATGCAGCAAAGCGGGGATGACATGATCATCACTGGGGAGTTTACATGACAAGTGAGTCAGCCAAGACCATCGAGAAAACGCAGATCCACTTCGCATCCATTGGTCCAAGTTCTGCAACAGATACGTTCGCTCAATAATAATCAGCCGTTGCAAGGGCAGCATCCGATCTTTGAATGGATCGCGTGTCAGTATTCCACATGCCGACCCCTTCCATCTCCAAACTCACCATCGTATCATCGCTCTGTTGTATGCCGCGTGCCACACATGGTCCGCATAACCTTTGCACTGGACACAAGCAAAGTCGTCGACAGGACGATGGAGCATCTACAATCGATAGCAGCTATTTGAATAGCGTGATGAAACACACCTACTGGCTCACTCACGTTCGCATCCCAAGTGCCTACAGCAACTACTAAACCTGAACGTACGTCTGTCATCACCATACATCGATGTCTGTGTCCCTTCAAGATACGATGTATCCATCTCCACGGGGTTCACGTCGTTTCCAGTAGGAGTCACGAAATGCCATCGTAAGTGCGATTTGTGTGTGTGTGCACCACACGTCAGAGGCCCAAGACGTCCCACGTGCGCGCCGCGCGTGCCACACACACCGCGACTTTTCCTTTTCACCCAATCAGCAGCGACCATTCCCCCACAGGTGTCCGTCCCTCCGTTCACGCGCTCTTCTCACCCCCTCAATGTCTGCCGCCCGCCTGACCCACGTCGCTAAGGAGCTCTCGAGCTACGGTGCGTGTCCGTGTGTACCCACTATGCTGCACTGCAACACTCCCCATCCCTCTCTCTCTCTCTCACTGACCCCCTCTTTATGTGTGTGTCTGTGTGTCTGTGTGTCTGTGCGCAGCTCCGTGGGGCGCCCCTACTGTGCTGTTGGTCGGCTGGATGGCGTGGCCCGCGCTCTCGCCCACGTTCAAACAGGAGACGCTGGGCCTGCGACCGTCGCAGCCGTCGTCCGTCAGTGCCAAGCAGGAGCTGATGCGCTCGTCTGCCACGTACAAGTACGTGAAGAACGAGATCGGAGAAGCCCCGACGCTGGAGGAAGAGGACTAAAGAGTCGGTCAACGACGATGCAGTCGATGCCGTGGCCACCGCTGCTGCGGCTGCCAACAGATGCCATTCAATCAAGAGACACACAGTGAGCGTCTCGAACACGAGCGTCTCGTTGTGATACAACTGCTATTGCTGTTATTGTTGTTGTTGTTGTTGTTGTTGTTGATGCTATTGTTGTTGTTGCTGGTGAAGCTCGTGATGATGGTGTGGGTACAGTACGTCTGGTTGGGAGACAGTGGCTGACAAGGGGAGTAAATTGACGGACAGACAGGTTCATTACAAGCACACGGATGCGGGTGACGCAACGGCTACACACAGTGAGTGGACTCGGACTGACGCAAGACGTAGTCCAATAGACAGCGCGGCTTCTTGGCGTTCGCGCGATTGGGTTTCCAGTGACGCTTGCGCATGTTGGCAAACCAGTTGCGCACTTGCTGCTCGGCGAGTCCTGTGCGGGTCGCAATGTCCACGCGCTCGTCGGGCGACGGGTACGGGTTGTCCTTGTGCGCGAGGAACCACGCGACGAGGAACTCGTTGCTCTTCTTGGTGATCCGCGAGCGCTTTGACAGCCCCGAGCCGGACAAGACCATACCTTGGGACAGCGCGTCCGAGCACTTGTCCTCGAGCGGGGGAGAGATAGACGCTGTTCGTCGCTTTTGGAGGAGCGAGACCCACGTCGTGGACGGGTGTACCTGTGGTCGAGACAAGTGGCTCGTGGCAGACGCTTCGATCGAAGCCACGGCGTCAATGCACGTGGTGCAGACAAACTGCCACATGCGCCAATAGTACAGCACGGCCTTCAGGACCATCAAGTCCGTGGCGCTGAGCTCGTACTGGTCAATGTCCTCCATGATACGGTACCACGACGTGCAGAGCCCCTGGAGCTGTGCGTGTTGGTACGCCGTCGCTTTGGCCCACAAGACTTGCCGGGACGTCCGTTGGTCGCAGTTGGCTACTAATGCGGCAAGGAGCGTGGCAGGCTGCGAGATCATGGCCATCAACTTGTGCGTGAGCGGCAGCAGCGCATGATTGTGAAGTGACGTCGGTGACGCCTTATCGTCGACATTGTCGTTGTCGTCTCGTGTCACGAGATCGGAAGCTGCTGGAATCGGAGTCCCGTGCGCAGGACGTGGATCGTCACTAGCTGTCAACTGGTGCTCGGGTTGCCGAGAGGGCTCTCGCGAGCGCAGACAGTAGTTGATGCGATTGGGAAAAGTCATTTTCGCAAGTGAGGGACAAGGACGGACTGAAGGAAGGGCTTGGAAACACGCAAAAAAGTCGTAGGGACTCGTCGCGGACGTTGTCATTGGCTGGTCGCTCGAGCTGCGACGCGGCGCGGGTCTGACTCACTGCTACGTTGCGACTTTCACGGATGGGTCCAGACGTTGAGGGCGAGAGTCACGGGCGTCTCTGCACTGACAGCACGAGTCAAGGCGCTGATTTAACGAAGACGAGACGGACGGCTCGAGACAGCCACGAGCTTGGTCGGTGCTTTGTTCAAGAAGAAGACAGGAGCAGCTTGAGCCCCTCTTGACCGAGTGACTGGACCAGGAGAAAGCCGCGACGAGGAAAAAAGATGCACAAAGTGGTTGGTATCGTGGCTAACAGATTGAGAAAAAAGGCGAGTTTCTCTGGCCATCGAAGCTGTCAATCGAGACGAGGGAGACCGGAAGAGAAAATTGAGTCTAAGCGATGCAGCACCCGAAGAGCTGGTCACGAGTCTACGTGGGGACTGGAGGAACAAGTGCGTTTTTGACGCTGGATATCGTGCGCTATTGTATTGGGAAGAAGGGCGAGCTCGCCGTTATCCGTTGACTGCTGCATCGTCTCGTATTTCGAACGAAAATACGACATCCACCGCTGTCGTCAGGCAGTTTACACCTCTGTGGAAAACGATTGTAGGCGGCGAGCCGATTCTGGTCCACAACTGTGCCAGCGTGTCGAATATATGTATACAAAGTACGCTAGAGACAACGGACCGAAGCCCTCGTGTGAGCTCACTGCAAAACGAGATGGAGGTACACACTGCTGCTGCCATATAATCATAGCGAGAGTCACGTTTTCTGCATGTTAGTGGACTGTGGAGCTACAGAGTCAGTCACGAGACAAAAAAGTTGACCACGACATAAACACAAGTAGCTGTGCACAGGCGACGCAGAGCACTGCGAGTGTGTCGCTCAAATAAGCCACAGCGAAAGAGGCTTCGAACAAGTTGAGACACTCACTGATCGCATCTACTCCGACATTGTCATCACCTTGCGAGACAGTAGTGCTTCGTCTTTGACCAAACAAGCGCTTTGTGCCATACTGGCGCGCCACACGCTCACCTTATATAATGCACTTTTTTGGAAAGCGTAAGTACGCATTCCTGGTCCCATGCGTTTTCGTACTTATCGATCCCTTCGACCACAACATTCGCCTCGTGCAACACGCACCCCCATCTGCGACGGGTGCGCAGAGCGGCACACTGTACCACTTGCATGCTAATCACAGTCGCTCGTCATCCGCTACTGCCAAATGTCGCTCGAAGAAGATGCGACGTCGGCGTTGCTGCCTTTCGACGTCGCCTTCGCGCCCCGTCCGCCCCGTCGAAGCCGTTTGCGTCGCATGGACGTAGCGCTCGTGACAGTGCTCGTGTCGGTCGCTTGTTTCATCTATGCGCGTCCGCCCAGTGTGCGCACAACGAACCCACTGCTGCTCGCGACACCTTCGCGCAACTTCCACTACCTCACGTACGACGACATTCCAGCGATTAAGCGCCAATCAGGATACAGCGTCACGGTGTCGAGACGAGGGTTTGCCATTGATGGCACACCGACGCTATTATTAGGCGGGTCGATCCACTACCCACGGAGCTCGATTGGCCAATGGGAACAGCTGCTCCGAGCGGCCAAACAAGACGGACTCAATTTCGTGGAAATGGGTAGGACCCATTTCTATCACGTTTTCGTTGTTGTGTATTGTGGTGTAGTTTACACCACTGTTTGCACCAAAAACAAGACACTCCCGACATGGACAGTGTCGAATGATAATGACAGTAGTAGTAGTAGTAGTAGTTGTTGTACTAATGTGTGTGTTGTGTAATGTCGGTCTTGTGCTGTGTGTCTTTGTATTTTGGGTGTGTGTGTCTGTGGCTGTAGACGTGTTTTGGAACGTGCACGAGCTTGAGCAGGGCGTGATGAACTTTGCTGGCAACGCCAATATCACGAGGTTCTACGAACTAGCAGCCAAAGTAGGAATGTTCCTGCACGTGCGGGTCGGTCCGTACGTCTGTGCAGAGTGGAGCAATGGCGGCCTGCCCGTGTGGCTCAATTGGGTGCCAAACATGAAAGTACGATCGAGCAATACAGCGTGGAAGCGAGAGATGGAGCGATTCGTTCGCTTTGTCGTGGATCTGTCGAGACCGTTTTTGGCAAAACATGGCGGACCGATTATCATGGCGCAGATTGAGAACGAGGTCACGTCGCAAGATCGAGAGTATATCGAGTGGTGCGGCGATCTGGTGAAGCGCTTGGATACGTCCATTCCATGGATCATGTACGTCATTGAAACGATTTCTTCTGGTCGACACCACTCGTGAGTTTGAGAATAATTGTGACTGTTGCTGACTATGCACAGGTGCCACACCAACGCAGCTACGAACACGATCCTCTCGTGTAATGGTAACGATTGCGTGGATTTTGCAATGACGCACGTGAAAGATCGGCCTTCGGACCCGCTTGTGTGGACTGAAGACGAGGGCTGGTATCAGACTTGGCAAAAAGATAAAAAGAACCCACTGCCAGGTGATCAGCGCACAGCTGAAGACGTGGCGTACGCTGTTGCTCGATGGTTCGCTATTGGCGGTGCTACACACAACTACTACGTACGTGCCTGTTCGCGCTGCATTCGTCCTGTTATGACGAACTGACCGAAACTTGTGTTCTGTTGAGTTTTAGATGTATCACGGTGGCAACAATTACGGCAGGGGTGCTGCCGCGGGCGTAACAAACATGTACGCTAATGGAGTCAATCTTCATTCAGACGGTCTGAGCAACGAGCCGGAACGATCTCATTTGCGCGAGCTTCACCAGAGCCTGATCGAGTGCAACGACATTTTGCTGCGCAACGACCGGCAGTTGCTGAATCCCCAAAACATCTCATCATCGGGCCATCAACGTGCTTTTGTGTACGGACCAGACAACGGACACGGCCAGGTGGTGTTTTTGGAAAACATGGCAAACAAGGGGGTGACCGTGGTGTACAGGCGCAGCAAATACGACCTCCGGCCGTCCTCCATGTTGATCATCAAGGACGGTGTTGTCCTCTTCGATACTGCGGATACACAAAAGTCATTTCCAGGTCATCAGCATCGGACATACAGTCCGCTCGTGAAAGCTGCCGCCCTCGAATGGAAGACGTGGAGCGAGCTCAACGTGTCAACGGAGACATTGAGAAAGCGTGTGGTAGCCAAGCAGCCGATCGAGCAGCTTCGTTTGACCGCGGACCAGTCGGACTATATGACTTACGAAACCACGTTCACTTTACAGCAGCCAGATGGGTACAGCATCACCACGAAGGACGACGCCATGACACTGAAAGTGACCTCATGTGAAGCTAACAGTATCATCGCTTTCGTTGACAACTGGCTCATTGGTGAGAGATCGCTGGCGTACCCTGGCAGCAATTGCTCTCAGGAGTTCCAGTTCCATTTGCCGATGAACCTTGAGGTGAACCGCAAGCATGACTTGAAGTTGGTGTCTGTGAGCCTGGGTATTCACTCGTTGGGGAGCAACCACAGTAAAGGAGTAACGGGAAGTGTGCGAGTTGGACACACGGATCTGACGGATGCACACGAGTGGACGATGTACCCGTGTCTTATCGGCGAGCAGCTACAGATCTATCAGTCGCAGTGGTTGAGTTCTGTACCGTGGACTGCCGTGTCTCGTTCGTCCGCGTCCTCTGGAGATGGTGTCACGAGCGGCCGTTCGCTCATGAGTTGGTATTGGACTTCCTTTCCGTATCCTCCAGAACCACATGCGAACAGTGAGCAGCAGTCGTCTATCTTGCTCGATTTATTCGGACTCACACGTGGTCGAGCGTTTGTGAACGGCCATGACCTAGGCCGCTACTGGCTCATCAATGACGAGGGCGACTTTGTCCAGCGCTACTATCAGGTTCCACGAGACTGGCTGCTGCAGGATGTCGATAACCTGCTGGTAGTATTTGATGAACTAGGCGGGTCGGTTGCTGACGTGCGCCTAGTGTCATCGGCGATGGTTGTAGCTACCGGGACCAACGACAGCATTGCTGGACATCTGAAGTAGTGCTGGCATTAGTCGTTGGAAAGCTCACATTTGAATGGACTATGAACGAGCAACACTTGTCAAATTACCCGTTAGTACGTGAGCAACGCCAAAGAACGCAAGACCTACGATGCCTTCGATCTGTCAATTGGGTCTTGTGCTTGACGCCACGCAGGGTCTCGACGCGCTGACTGCAAGGATCAAGAATGCCGGGCACTTCTTGCTGTCGCAGAACGACAGCCATCGATCAATGCAGACGTCTGTGCGATGAGTAAGGCAGCGCCCACCAGCTCTGCGAGCGTTTGCGCTTGACGTGTGGCACGTTGTCGATGAACGCGACGAAACCAGTCACCACTTGCTTGGTCACTTCCGTTGCTACTGATGTCCACGTGTGCACGCTAAAAGTGACATCAGCGTTTCCCGTCACGCCTGTAGCAGTGCATCCCTAGCGCTCGTACGTGCCCCGCCATTCTCCAGCAGTGTCTTTCCAGCACCACTGAGCGACGCCGTTGACACTCTGTAGCTCTGGTACCCGACCAGCAGACGCCGTCAATATGCACTGGCAAAGAGACGGCGCTCCCGCTTCGCGCCCTCACTTTTTGTTTGCCCTTTTCCGCCTCCTCGCCAGCCACGACTTCTTCTTGGCCGCTGTTAGGCGGAACGTCTCTCGGATCCACGCAATGAACTCCATGATCTTGAACTTCACGGCAACGTACCAGCCGAGCACTCTGGACCCGGTCTTGATCCACTTTTTGTACGTGCGGTACGTCCCGACGGGGGACCGCTCCTTGAACTTGGCCTTCCAGCGACCGACCGCCTGTTTGATCCGCGGCCCGAGTTTCGTCACCTTTTCGCCTTCGACAACCGCAGCGCTGACAGGAGCGGATCCGGTCACGCGGAGGAACCGGTTGCTCGGCTTCGGTTCCGAGCGCGTCACTTGGTCCCGTGGCGACGTCGACCACCTGATCAACTGGTTACCGGAGGGAGCAGCCGACTGCGCGCGAGTACCGATCGACGCAACGAGCGCGAGGGCAATGAGGACGAGGAGGAAGAGCTGTTGGGGCATATGTGGCAGCAGTGACGTCCGCGGCGGCAGACTGAGTGCGTCTGGAGAAGGAGAGGGGCGGGCGGGCGAAGGCGAGTGAGTGAGTGAGGAGCTCTTCGCTTGTCACTCACGTGAGTGACAAGCGAAAAGGAGACCGGATCAGCTTTGTCGAACCGGATAGTTGCTGCGCCTCGTTTGTGTTTCCTGCTTTCGCTGGATAAGCTATGCCGCTATGGATCGGCTATGGTGGACGTGGGCGGATGGTGAACGGACGCCGCTTTGGTCGTGCGTCATAGCAATGGCAGCGTGAGACGATCAAAAGCAGGTTAGTGTACCGTCTGTGCCGAGGGTAAACTGGATACGGTGGTCGTTATTGAGGGGGATGAGAGCTGGGGGGTTGGCGTACCGCGTTTCGCGGATGGACGAGTGGAATGCGCGGGGCAGGAAAAGGGAATGAATGGCAATGCTGACGGTCGTTGCTGGCTCTTTGACAAGCGCTTTTTCTATTTCTCTGTCAACGCACGACAGCCTGCGGGTTGACAAACGTGGGCACTACTTGAGAGACTCTGAGTTCCCGATACGGTATCCGGGACGAGACATCTCTAAACCTAATGGGGACACAGCGACACTTGTGTGTGGCGCCTGATATGATGGGCCATTGCTGCACGAAGAAGGCGCTCTGCGTTGTACATCTAGTGACCACTATGAACATTAAACATCGCAATGGATGTCACGGTTCCTGTTTCTTGTACCAAGTTATGCACTTGTGTGTACGACAGCAGATTAGAAGGTGCGACAACAGTAGTGAGCGTCGCTGCCTTCTCCATAGGCTTCATGACACCAATCGATTCGGCACGTAACATAGATTGGGAACAAACTGGCAGAAAGGAAATTGCTTTCTCGCATTCCGAGTGCGATTGTCGAAACGCAGAAAGCGCGATAGGTCCGGAGGTCGTTTTTCTATTAGTTTGCGTCAGAGGATTCGAGATCGACACGTGACATCAAAAGGCCAATGGTGAACGTATGCGTCGCTGTGTACGAAGCAGCGAGAGCGCATGTAGATCTATTGTGTATGGTCTTTGCGGACAAGGATGGCCTGAAGACGTAGTAGACGATTGGTCCGTTTCGTATGGTTCCGAGCTTATGTAGAGGCTACAACGAGGATACTCGATAACGCGCACAATGCTTGGGGTTTAAGGTACAATGCAGCTCTCTGCTTCATGTGCTGCAGGCCAAAACTCGCCACGACATTCATCTAGCCCTTCTGTACACGCCTAAACATGCGAGCCGTGTAGGACCAGACTCTACCCTGATTGCACGCAAGACGCAACGAGCGATGAACGAGACCATGCTGTGGCTAAAACGACGCAATGATGTTTCGAGTGCCTGACACGTAGGTGGATCCAGGGTGCAACGTAGACCTGGACAGCAGAAGTGTCTCTACTCGTACAACGGAAGCAGCGTCTGCCCAAAGCTCGCGAAACTCCTACCAGTAGACGCATCGACCACTTACTCCGTGGCTATCGCACCACCCAACGCAACTGATCCATACCTTCGCCTGATGATTCATTACAACGGGTTGCATCAGAGGAGTCATGGCGAATTCGGGTAGGGCTTAGCCGAATTCGCCATTTTTGTCAAGCACACAGGTTCTGCAATTCTGTAGAGTATTGCCGCAAGGTACTGAGTGGATCAGTGGACTACGAGCGACTACTGTAAGCTACGACAGAGCCACGATGCAAGTTGCATAGCATTTGACGCGCTTCTACTTATCGACGGCTTTCTCTGTGGCGTGTCCGACTCTGTGGTGAATCCACACGTCCTTCTGGTGATACAGAAACCTGATGTTGTCGCTCCAAAGGCTTGGGAAGTGCGCTACCTCTGCAACGTAGCTGAAGCTCCGTAATGCAGCACGAGACAGCGCGTGTTAGGCTGAAACTTTTCGAGACACAACAGCAACAATTTGGGCGTACTGCAATGAGCTAATCGAGTACGAAGCGTGAGTAGCTACAAAAGCGGCAGTGAGGCATGCACTTCAATCATGTGTCTTTTAGTGTAGAACCAAGCGACACAAGTTGTTGGGCGCTGCAGTGCTGCCGCCTAGAGACGGAGACGACAGGCCACGTCTCTTCTGCACGTGCATGTTGCGAAGCGCTAGCCAGACATTGGACGATTGAATGAAGATAACGTCACCACCACAGTCGCGTCGAGAACCACCAAAGCCGACACTTTGTCCACGCAACGTCTCGGGGAACGACGCCACGAGGCAACACCTACATGGACAAGGCACTGCACGAACAGGACTTTTGTTTCTTTCCACGCTTTTGACGCGTTAGATACCCACCCAGCAGCCAGTACAGATCCTAGTCATCACGTCTGCTTCGCTCGGTCACGCCTCAAGCTCGGCTCCCCTCCGAGAACGAATACCGTACCTGGTCGAGCTCAGGCATAGACGGTACAGTCGGCCGCTTTTGTCGAGTCTGCTCCCCCGGTCGCGACCACAAACGCCATACTATCCGCTCTATTTCCGTTTAGTACAGCATAGCGCGTCCACTTTGACATAGAGCGGGAACAGGCGATCGATCAGCTTCGACAAAGCTGATCCGAGCGTCTCCATGATGTCTAGAGGCACACGAATCCCATTCGTTTCCATCGTGACGCACTTTACAATTGAGCTCGTCGCCCCCACTGGTCACGTCCGACCCACTCGAGTTCTTTGCACTCAGCGTGCGCTCTCGTTTGCTGACCTTTTTTTTTGGTGTAAGTGTCAGCTGCGTAAAAAGCTACAGACTGACATGTCCAAGTGGCTCCTCGTCATTGCGCTGGCGCTCGCAGTGTCCGTTGGCAGTGGGGCTCCGCTTGCTGCTCCATCCGAACAGCAGCTGGTCAAGTGGACGGCGCCAGCACTGGAGCAAGTTGCTCAGTTGGAATCAGATGGCGAGCGGCTGCAGCGCGCGGTCGCCATTGCCAGTCGAGACATTGGCGAAGAGAGGTCCTCGTCGACGTCGAAAAAGCTCAAGAAGAAGTTCAAGAAGTGGTCACCTATCAAGAAGTTTAACAACTACAAGGAACGCGTAAAGGTTGGCTGGAAGCTGTACAAGTGGTACGGCGCCATCTGGCAGAAGATTGAGAAGCTGCTCGAGTGGTTTGGCAGCATCTTTGGTGCAACGAAGGGAGTAAAAAAAAGCCGTGGTACTCGAGAAAGCACTCGGCGAAAAAGAAAACATAAGGGCGCTACTGCTGGGAGCAGGACACGTGGGCTGAGGGCAAGATTCGAGCTGACTTTGTCGCGGCAGGTCAGTGGTGCTGAACTTGCCACGCATGACGAGTACAAGAGGTGCAACGAGTATGACAAGACACGCGACCAGACGCTGTTGACATTAAATCGGATCTGCTCGTTGAAGACGCCGTCGTGTGGCGCACGTCTTCGTACGTGGACGAGAGTCTCTCTCTCTCTCTCGCTCTCTCTCTCTCTCGCTCTCCCTCTCTCTCGCTCTCTCTCTCGCTCTCTCTCTCGCTCTCTCTCTTGTGCCATTTGCTGGTTCTTCGTTGGCGTCGTCGCCTCTGGACGGCATCTACACCGACTTGTCTTGCATCGAGTGGACATGGAGTGCAATGTATGACGAGTTTGTGCAGTTCCGACGGTATTGTAATGAGACTAATCGATTAGTCGTATACTACAACTAGAATTGTGTTTGTAGCGCGTGCGATCGATTGCACGGCGCAGGTCGAAACCCGACACAGGTCCGACCCACGCAACAACAGGCGATCCCTTTTTCTCAATAGTAATACCGCTCTGCTGCAGTCGGTCTGTCTCCGAAAGCAGCTGGCGGCGGCACCGCCAACGAACGTGACTACCGATGAGCTCGTGCCGTGTACCGGTATATACGTGCGGCTACAAATCGCTTTTACGACCATTTTTGCTACCTGACCAAAACTTGTCCTAAAACGTAACCCATTGTCACCATACGATCACGCGCGACCACTGCTTTGCGCCCTGTGAACGAGAATGCACAGAGTCGTCACCCGTTGCAATCGCTCAGTTGCCACGTCACTGTCATGTCGGCAACAAACTGTTGCGACACTTTTGTCCACACGTTCTGTCGCTATCCGTGCGAGCGGCTTCGAGTACCAGTGAGTCGTTCCCTCACTCGGTCGTCCACTCGTCCGCTAAGGTCTGTCACTTGACACATTTGTTGCACGGACTTTGACACTCTTTTGATTTGTCGAATACATAACTAGAAATACACAATCTGTGTGTGTTTTGTGTCTTGTTTTGTGTCTTGTTTTGTGTCTGTTTTGTGTCTGTGTCTCTCTCTGTGTGCGTGGGTTATCTTTTTGTGTCAGTAGATTGGCAAACGGTGTCGCATTGGGGCATTTAGTACTGTGGGAGCAGACGTTATCATTGGCGACGACTCAATCATTGGCGCCAATGTGACGTTGCAGAACTGCTCCATTGGCAGTCAAGTGGTGATCCACGCGGGGGTCCGCATCGGCCAAGACGGCTTTGGGTTCACGCTCAACGGTCACGGCGTTCATGAGAAGAAGCGCCAGGAGCGACGCGTTGAGGTGCACGACTGCGTCGAGATCGGGTGCGCGTCTTGTGATCTGTATATGTTATTGTCTGAGCAATGGGCAATGGGCAATGGGCAGTGACAGTGTGGTCAATTGAGGGACGACATTGGGTTGTAATGGACGGTGGTGTATGGTATGCTCTGTAGTGCCAATTGCACGATCGATCGCGGCAGTTGGCGCAATACAGTGGTTGGCAAACACTGTAAACTCGACAACTTGGTGCGGATCGACGGATTCTGTCGCGCGCTCGCTCGCTCGATTCGTGCAATATCGCCTAACAAATGACGTCCTCGTGCTCGTCTGAGTAGATCCAACTTGGTCACAACGTGCAGCTTGGCACGGGCTGTGTCATTGCTGCACAGACCGGGATTGCCGGCAGTACGACACTGGGCAACAACGTGCATATTGGCGGACAAGTAGGTGTGGCGCAGCATCTCAAGATCGGGGACAATGTTCGCATTGCTGCAAAAAGCGGTGTCATGAACCATCTCGAGTCGAACGCTACGTATGGTACGTGCACCTCCTCCGTGAGCATGTTATCGATGAGCAGCTGTTGCCTCACAGGTGCTTTGCTGGTATGTGTGAAGGCGGCAGCCCTGCAGTGCCCATCATGGAATATCGGCGTCAAATGGTACAACTGAGGCGTCTGGGCAAGCGGTTTGTCGACTAAGTGCACGCAGTCTTGTAACAAATGGATCGCAGTGATCGATGTCAAGTCCATGTCGATACGCGTAAGACAACGTTGTTCAAACGGGAATACTGATAAAACTGCACCATCCGGCTATCGTATCGAGTCACTACGGATACTGGAGTTGTACTTGGTCATCAAGTACGTGGCTTCTGCCGCCATGTTGATCTGGATGAGTCGCTCCAGGAGGTTGTCCTGCTCATTGGAACTACTCGAATACGATGTGACGCCACCTGCTGAGCCGCCAGCCACTCCCAAATCGTTCGAGCGGAACGAGTTGATATACTTCAGCTTGTCGTTCTCAAACACGTCCGTCAGCTCCGCTTGGTTCGGCGAACCGCTCTCGAAATCCGACTGGCGACTGAGCTCGATCACACCGCCTTCGTTCGCGTCATAAATGCTGATCATCTGTCTCCGTCGGTTCTTGCGGCTTGTGACGCGCTCATTCTCTTCGTTCGAGGATTCGTCGTCGCTCATATTGCCATCGTCACTAACGCACCCGCGCTCACGATACGTCCCGGATCCCCCAACGTCGTACGTGCTGCCAACCGACTGGCTGCCAATACATCTGCTGTCGTTGAACGAGTGATTGCCTGGACGGACTACAGCGTGCTGACCTGATACACAGCTATTGCTGTAGACCACATGACGCACGGAATCGCTGGTCGTGCGCTGCTCTCTGGACGGGCTTGCTGCTGTCTGGTTCTTCACTGGCCAACCCGATTGCTGACATCGTCGCACGCTCGGCGCTCGCTTGGCGTTGCTGATAGTGTCGTTCGTGGGGCTGCTACTCGAGTTCGTCGACAGCGTGCTGTAAAGAGACAACGAAGGCTCTGACGACACTGTCGATCGTGCGCTCGAGAAACTCGTTGGCGTTGACGAGTAGACTTCATGGCCCCGGAACGAAGACTTGGTGGCGAAGCCCACGCGGTGGCGTGACGACGACGGCGCGCAGTACACTGCAATGGGATCGGATGACGGCGATGCCAATACCCGAAGTCCCGACTGTCCAGTGGAGGGAGTGTGCGCGTAGCGAGGCGACTCGGACCAGTTGGACCCCGACATGCCCGAAGCATCGTCGAGGTCCGCGCTCACTGGCGCCATGGCCGAGCCGCTCAGGAGCTTCTCCTTCGTGTCACTCAAACACGGCCTGCAGAAGAAGTAGCTGCACGGGAACGTGCTCGTCTTGCGCGACGGGTAAATCGTCTTTGCCACGCGACAGCGTTCGCACACGCTCTTGCCGCAGAGCTTGCAGTTCTGCTTGGCTTTCAGCACCTTGAGCTTCGAGTTGCAGAACGCACACGTCTTGCTCCTGCTAGCGACAAGAAGAACAACAAGAAGAACAAACAACAAACAACAAGAAGAGAGAGAGAGACACACACACATGGCATCGTCAGCATCACACGCACATCATCACTGCGGCAACCCGTGAAGAGCTCAACTTCAACTGCAACTGCAACTATAACATCAACTATACCATCAACGTCAACTATAACGTACGGTGCAGTCGCCACGATGCGCCGATGCCTCGCGCGCACGAGCGCCGACAAGCGCTTGGCCGTCGCGCAGTCCAACGCCCGCGCGACGCCGAGCCAGAGCTCGGCCATGATGGGGTCAGCGCCCCAGCTGCGCGCTTTGCCGCCGACCGCGTGCTGGCCGCGCATGTACACGGCCACGCGGTTGTGCGGCAGCGACCGGAAGATGTAACACACGGCGGCCGTTGCGCGCGTGAGGCCCTGGGCGTCGAACGGCGGGCACGCGGGCACGTCGACCGACTGCATGACGAGGTACCCCACGCGGTTCCCCTCGGCGTCGAGCGTGCGGCCGAGCTCTTCGTGCCAGCACAGGTCGCGCTTGTGCACGAGCGCGCCCGACGAGGCGCACGCGAGCCACTTGAGGCCTTCGAAGCGGTACGAAAAGCCCGTGTCGTACTCGCTGTAGACGTCTTGTTCGAGCACGTGGAGCACAGCAGCGTCCAAGAAGTCGCGGCCGTGGAGGATGGCCTGCTGCGTCTTGAGCGCGCCCGTTGTCGAGGCGTAGAGCCCGAGCAGGACGTCGTCCAGGACGCCCGCGACGTGGCCCATGGCCGTCACTTGGACAGCGTCGCCCGGCGTGAAGCCGCGTTCGCGGTACACGTGGAGTCCATGGCGACTGCCAATGCGCTTCCACTGGTCTGCCTGCTGCGTGACGCGGCACGTGCTCTCGGCCCACTCGGCGGTCAATGTGCGGCTCAGGAGCTCGGACGCTGTCGTGTGCAGAGCGTCCGAGCGGTCGCTCGAGACGCGCACGGCGGGGAAAAACGCCTCGGGGAACGGCAGCTTCACCTCTTTCAGCGCGCGGGTTAACATGGCGACGGACGATCGGAGACTGACGGCGGAAGCCTTTGGACCGGCCGGCCGGACGGCCTTTTGCGACAGTTTGGAACGCCGAAACGGATTACGGACGTTGGGACGACGACGACTTGAAAAGGTCTTTTTTGGTGGCGATGGGGAGCAGGAAACGAAAAAGGCGTTGAGTTTGGGTGGGGGGGCGGGCGATGGAGGGCGTGAGAGAGAGAGAGAGAGAGAGAGAGAGCGCGTGTCGGAGCGTGTCGGAGCGTTTGGCTGTTGCTGACTCGATGTGGCGGGCGATGTGTTACTGCGTGGCTACTTTTTTGTTGCTGCTTTGTGGCCGGACGAGGGCGTTGTGCTGCCTGTGCTGCTGCGGCTGTGGCTTATGCGGTACAGTTAGCACATGTGTGCGCGATGCTCAAGTGGCTCGTTGAAAGGTGTGATGGGTTTCGGTGCCATAACGAGTGGAAGGACGTTGTCGAGTGCGGGTATAGTGGATCAATCTGTTCGAGAGAGAGAGACGCTGAGAGACTATGAGGTCACTCGTCGCTGTCTGCTTTGCTTACTTGCGGAGAAGCGCGTGGTCTCGACTTGGCAAACAAACGTCTTGACAGTCGACACGGACGACGACGTCGACGACAATGTATGTCCGGACACTTTGTAGCGTGTTTGGCCAATGTCGTTCATCAGTTGATAACGTGTGTGTGTGTGCGTGTGCGTGTGTGTGTGTGGTGGAAGACCCCGTGATCAGCTGACTCGATGGCGGCCCACAGCGCGTCATTTATCCACTCGCAGACGCGTACTGACCGTATTGGCATTACGTACTCTGCGCGAACAGCCGCCTTGGCGGGAAACGACTGCAGATATTCTTTGCACGATGTGGGCAGGCGCAGCATCGAGCCATCGCCTGTGTGGACCATACGACGGCCGGACGTTTGTCGGTTACCCATTGCTCGCCTCAAGCGGACTCTTGTGGCATTCCCTTGTTACTAATCGAGTGCGTGAGGACGGCCTTAGGTGAGGTGGCGACTGAGCAATGAGCTACTGGCAAAGGCTCACGAACGTTTGTATGCACAACTTTGCTCGATAGGCGCGGGACGGATTGCTCTCGCTGCAGTGTCGTCGGACACAGACCGCAGAGAGAGAGAGAGAGAGAGAGATCTGTTGCGTGCGACTGTGCCAGAGAGCACGGGGCGGATCAACAAAGTGGGGCACGATAGGCCCATGTGCGTATGCCACGCGCCCGCTTTGCATCCGCTGTCGAAGGTGTACCATACATACCCCTTTCACATCGTGACCGCACAGGGGCCACACGCGATCGTCGACTTGATGTTCGCGTTGGTCTCTAGAGGTCACGTTCGGTATCGTTCGAGACGCTCTCGATCGACGCGACTTTGGGCCGTCGTGTGGTCGCAGAACACACGGACGAAAGTGTTGAAGCAGTCGGTACGAAGGAACCTCCATACACTATGTGGCGGCAGTTGACGCAACTGCCTGTTGTGCTGTTTGCTGAGACTTTTAGGACTTTGGATGTCGACGAATCTGCTGATTTGCTTGGGGCGCTCTGGCTTTGCTGTGTGTGTGTGTGTGTGTGAGTCTTTCTTTGCGTGCAAAGCTGACGGTAATGTGCAGAATCGTGTGGGCGATGGGAAGCCGTACCGTCCACGAACTCGACAGAGCGGTGTCGGCCAGTGGTATGTCCCACACGTCGTTGCCAGAAGCAGCAGCAGCAGCAGAAGAAGAAGAAGAAGAAGAAGAAGTGTGACTGGTGCATTGAGATCGGTCATGTGGCCACGCTAGAGACCGACTGAGTCGCGTGTGTGTGTATGTGGCTGTCCAGTATCACGTTGAGGTTGAAGCAGCACAGGCTTTGGCAGGCGAGAGAAAGTGGACACACTGAGGATGGGAAAACACAACAGACCACGAAAGGACGAGCACTCAGCTGCGACGCAGGTGCAAAAAGGATGTGAGCAATTGCGTTCGCGACGGAGCGTTGGCGTTTTGCGAGGGCAGTCGCTTGGCGAGAGAGACACTTGCGGATCGAACGAAGTCGAGTCTTTCGATTGCATTGGTACGCTTTCAAACCATCAGCTCCACTTGTGTGCGTGCACTCGATCAGCGTCGCTCGTATGCCTGAGCTTTGACAAAGAGGTTGGGAACGGGTCTATCTGCGCTCTTGAGGGCTCAGCAAACGATGGCCGATGCAACAGCGCGTGGGCGTCTGTGCTGTAACAGATCCGATGGCGTGTCGCCCCGTACGTTCAACGTGGACAACAGTTTGCTGCGACCTTCAGGACGCAGCTCTGTTCTTGTGCCGACACACGTTACCGCATCCCAAGACGTGTCGTGCCACTCTGTTGCACACGAGCGGTCCAACGCACGCTCAATAAACGTACCGAGTGGATTGTGTGTGGGTCGGCGCAGCTGACGCAACGACAACACGACAGGATCGGCTGTTCTTGACTCGGCTCAGCATGTGACTGCGTATGCGCCAGGGACAGCTGCTACCAGAAGGCTCTTTCAAACACAAGATGGCTGCCGAGAGGTAGCAGCAATTGTAGCAGTAGTAGTAATAGTAGTAGTAGTAGTAGTAGTAGTAGTAGTAGTAGTAGTAGTAGTAGTAGTAGTAGAGTAGTAGTAGTAGTAGTAGTAGTAGTAGGAGGAGGAGGAGGTCATTGCCGTGCACGTGGGCAAGTTACGAGGCCGAAGGAGACGGTCTCGTTATGCCGAGTACAGTACCCACGTCAGTCGATGATCTCCGTCAAAGCAAAGGCAGCTGAGGTCAAGTCGGTCTTTGCCTGTGAGCGCAGTATTAGTTCATGGCGCACAAAGTGTCGTAGCTCGGGAAGAAGCGAACACGGAGCTGGAACAAGAACCCTCCCCCAACCCCACCCACCAACCCACACAAAAAAGAACACAAAAAAAAACAGGCCCCCCCCAGAAACCCAGCAGTAGCACAACGCGTGCGAATCGAAGCCATTTGCTATGCACGTGAAGCTCCGGACGACTTTGGTACAAGTCGACTTCTGGTTCGAGTCGCCTACTGTTGCAAAGCAGAAGGCGATGGCCATCGACACTATAATACCCCACACGAGTGTCAATATGCCGTAGTCGTACATAAAAGTCCCGAGCCTCGCGCTATGACGTCATACCGGTCACCTCATATCGGACACAAAAGGGTCGATATGCCAGACCAAAGACAGCCCAAATGCCTCTCCTTCTTGACACACCGACAGCTTTCTTTCTTTCTTTTTTCTCTCTCTGCCCCATTCGGTAGCCATATTGATTTTGACCATGTGTCCTGTTTGTTTCGCAGGAACCTCACAGTTAATCAACTACCCCCCCCCCCTCTTCTTTGTCCTAGTTTAGGTCCCAAGTACGTCGTCCGAAGAGCGCGTGGTCCCGTTGCGGCGTCGTCCGTTTCATTTCTAACACCAGCAGCCACCCAATTACTTGCACGAGCGCCCGTTAGAATCCATTCAGACGCACAGAGAGGCATCAGCAGACGTCATGGGCGGCGGGAACGGACAGAAGTCAGCGGCCAAGCGCGACCGCAACAATGCCAAGAAGATGAAGGAGTCGAAGCAGAAGAACCACGCCGAGTCCAAGGCCAAGATGGAGGCGGACAAGACGGGCATCAAGTGCAAAATCTGCATGACGACGTTTCTAATCACGGCCAACGTACGTCCGCACGCACTGTGTCGTTTCTATCGTCGTCGGGGGTGGGTTTTTTTGTAGCCATCTAATGTGGCTATGAGGTTTTTCTCATCTGACGACTTGTTGGTGTTGATTAATGTATGGCGACGACGACGACGACGAACCGAACCACTGGACATCCACATCCACACACAGAGGACGCAGCTGAACGACCACTTTGAGAGCAAACACTCGGCCAAAGGCTTTGCCATTGAGCAATGCTTTCCAGGCAGAGTCTAACGCGCGGTGCTCGACGGCACACACATTGGACGAGACAGACGGTTGGAGGCTGCGCGTGGGGCATTCTCTGCACGCTGCACACGTGTCGATTGCTCGTCCCATACATTATCGGCAGTACGTACCGCCGGCCGTGTTTTCGTGCGGTTCACGCACAGTGCAGTGCATAGTGCAGTGCTCTTTTGACTCGGTGAGCACTGAATAGAAACGAGTGACGAGCCAGTTTTGGTTAGCGCGTTGGTCGGACTTTTTGCACTCTTTTGCTGCTTGTGGTGAGCTTTTCGGATTGTTGAACGTTAGGCCGAACACGTCATGACGCGGTGTTCGGCAAGAGGATTCAGACCGGTTGCAATGGACAGAGTGTGCGGTACGCGACAGTGTGTGCGGTTGGGTTACGTTGTCGATTGATGGATCGATCGCGTGTCGGTCAGTGTCTCGGGCACACGTCTGCAGACCAATGGTTACTTCTTGTTCTTATAGCGACGAGGGACAAAGTGTCCAGTCTTCTGCTTTCTCGTCAGAGGCGACTTCTTGCCACTCTTCGACTGCACCGGTGCCGCAGACGTGGACTCAGCAGCAGCTTTGCGGGCATGACGCTGTTTCCCATACAGCACGCTGCTGGTCCGCTGCTGGAACTTTTTGCGCTTCTCGAACGGGTTCTCCTTGTTGCCACGGAGCAGCAGCCGAGCTGGCACACCTACCATGTCAAACTCCTCGCGCAGTTGGCTCAGCAGGAATCGCTGATACGCTTCGGGCACTTCAGACGGCTTGCTCACAAACACCGCAAAAGTGGGCGGCCGAGACTTCACTTGGGTCGCGTACTTGATGTTCAGCGTCTTGCCCTTGACCGTTGGAGGCGGGTGGTGCCGACTCATGGCTTTGAGCCACCGATTCAAGCGGCCAGTCGTCACGCGGAGGTCCCATCTCTCATACGCCTTGAGCACCTCTGGCACGAGCTTTTTTATTCCACTGCCTGTGAGCGCAGAGATGGGTACGACAGGAACACCCCGCACCTGTGCGAGCGAGTCCTGCAACTCGTTCTGGATACGCTGCATCTCTAGCTCGACACCAGCGCCTGCAAGGTCGCTCTTGTTCGCTGCGAGCACTAGCGCACGTCCTTCTTCGATCACACGTTGTGCAATGGTCAGGTCCATGTGAATGAGCTTGGGCTCGCTCATATCCACGACGACGACCACGACCTGTGCCGAGTCGATTGCACGGAAGGCGTCGCGCACCGACAGGTTCTCAATCTGGTCTTCGTGATCACGCTTGCTGTATCGTCGAATACCTGCCGTATCGACGAGCTGAATGGGACGTCCGTGAAACGTCCAGGGCACTTCCACCGAATCACGCGTCACTCCTGGCCTGCGAAACCACGATACGAATCACGTTAGCGTGCACAACAGCACAGACAGTCTGCGCCAAACGCGTGTCGACGCGCCAGCACGTACTGAGGACCAGTCAGGACGCGGTCGCTGCGCACAATCTTGTTCAGCAACGTCGACTTGCCGACGTTCGGGCGACCGACAATAGCCAGCTTGATCGTTCGCGGCTGCGACACCAGCACACACGACACACAAAAAACACAAGAGCACCCCCAAATCAGCCCACAATTGACATGCTTCACACCATCGGATCCCGCGCCGCCACTTACATCACTGTCGTCCTTCTCCTGGTCCTTCCTGTCTTTTCCTTGCGCCTCGCGCGTAGCCGTCATTGTCTGCTGGAACGTTGCATACATCGGTATGATCTCGTCCAGCAACAACGGGACCCCGTCTCCGTGCTCGGCCGACAGGGGAATCGCGCCGCCCATGCCCAACTGGTAGCAGTCGTTCAGCTCGTTCTCCCATCGATCCACGTCGCCCTCCAGCTTGTTCGCCACCAAATGGATCGGCGCACGTGCGTTCTCTCGACGTAACCAGCGAGCAAAGTGGCTGTCCACGGGCGTAACCCCCTGTCGGCCGTCCACCAAAAAAAACACGAGGTCGGCCTCGTGCACCGCGCGTCGCGTCTGCTCGAGCATACCCTCCTCCAGCGTCCCCGACGGCGCGTCTGCGAGTCCGCCCGTGTCGACAATGTCCAGCTCCAGGCCCGCGACCGTCGAGCGCGCGTACCGCCGATCCCGCGTAGTCCCTGGTACATTATGGACAATGGCCGACCGCGTCTTCGTCAGGCGGTTAAACAGCGTGCTCTTGCCCACGTTCGTCCGCCCCACCAGTGCAATGCGCAGCCGATCGTGCGCCTCAGAGAACCGCTGCGGCGCAGGGGCCGTGGCCAGCGACGCCCACGCGCGGCGCGCGCGCAGCCAGTGGCAGGACGCGCGCGGCGGCAGCGTGTGCATCGGGAATGGCCACTGATTGGTGGAAAAGCAGACCCTGTCAATGTCGATGCGCACGGTGAGGGATCGCATTCGACAGGGACCTGCTCGCCCGCCGGTGTTTGGCGCAAGGTGCGCAGGGTGGGAACGACTCGACATGGGCCGTCCGCTGCTGCCGATTTGGCACGAGTTTGAGACGGCTGTGCCGGCGGCCGGCGAGAAGCGCAGTCCCGACGTCACGTGTCGCCACTGCCGCGCGCTCGTGTGCAATGCGCGGCCAGTGAACCTGCTCACGCACGCCTCGCGCTGCCCCGAGATGCCCGACGAGGTCCGTCTCCGCGTAGGGCGGAGCAGTGCCGACAGCCGCGCGCGAAAGCCGACGCCAGTGTCACTGTTGCCGTCGGAGAAGGCGCTGCCGAGTCCAGTGCTGCTGCCTCAACAAGAGGCCACTGTAGACGAGACGGACGAGCACGGGGACGTAGCAGCTGCAGCAGCAGCTGTGGTCGCTGGAGCAGCTGCAGTGGCAGAGGAAGACGACCTGTTGGTGTCGGCTGAACGTCGTACGTTGCTGGGCAAACGCACGCGGAGTGCGGCGTCGACGAGCGGACGACTCGAGACGGTGGAGCTCGTGCTCACGTCGATTCGGGACACGATGGACAAAGCGCTGGAGGTGAAGCGCCAGGAGCTGCAGCTGCGGCGGGACGAGCTCGCGTTCCGAAAAGAGGCGTTGACGGCCAAGCTGGACGACCGACGCCAAGCACGGGAAGACGAGCGGCGGGATCGACGTGAACAACGCGAAGCTGATCGGCAGGAGCGACTCGAGTTGGCGAGGATCGAGAACGAAAAGAACCTTGCCTTCTTAAAAGCCGTGATGGAGTCGTCGGTCCAGCAGCGTCGGTGAGTGCAAGAGACGGCGTGGCATGCAGGGGGACTGGCACAGATGGGGTCCGACCGCTCGTGGACGCCGTGGGGGGGGCAAGGTATCATGCTGACGACAACGCGATACGTGGAGTCAGAGCTGTTGTTGCTTTGATGCCACGTGTTGGTGCTGCGGCGGTAGCCGTGAGTCTGCTGCGTGGCTTCGTATTCTAGCGCTCATATGTCGCCCAAAGGGGTGCAAACTGCTCGTCCAAGCGACCTGTAAGCAAGCAACAAATGCGAAAGTAGGCTCGGAAACCAAAGCGTAAATGTCATCGCGCCGTGCGAACCGATGATAAGGCCGTTCTTGTAGATGAAAAGGGTCTCCGCGTTACCGACCACTCTGCCTCGCGACTCCAGTTGATCCGTCCTCGCAGACCGTACAGCAGGTCATCCACTGTCAACAGTCCAACCACTCGATACTAGTGCCAAGCACTGCTGCCAACCGTTCCATTGAGCAAAACAGTCTCATCAACGATGCAAAACTGACCACAACAACAACCACAACAACAACAACAATAGCAGTGTGTCATCAGCAATAACAGTAACAACAGCAACAACAACAACAACGTGTCATCAGCACAGACACACACGTACCACGTCGATAAACTTCGAAACGCGCGTGAGGTGCAGTCAGCGTATCAGTAGCAGCAATGGCGTTGCACGACACAGCAGCGCGTACATCGTCTTACGTGACAATTAAGACGACGCAACTGCCCATCGGCTTCTGCCGCTGTGGTCACGACTGTGTTGAAGTGCGTCGGAAGCCATTTCCACCAATCGACGCGAGCGAGCGGTCGGGTCGTCCGCCAATCGCGTCGAAGCTGCAGGTCGTCCGTTATCCTGCGTCAAGACCGCCGGTACGCGCGAGATTCAGTATAGTACGGTCCACATGCACCTAACGTGTCCCCCGTGTCGACTGCTGACCAGCGGATGTCGGACACGTTCCATATTGTCCTTACGTTCGCAATAGAAGCCGAGTCGAACGTGCGCAAGCGGTACCTTTCCCGTCCGCAGCTGACACCAGAGCTCGATCGTTAGTGTTGTTGTTTATCAGCGCACGCTTCTCGGTGTTCGTCGCGGCAAGACGAGGCAGTGCGAGGGATCCACTACGCCAGTGGGTCTGGCTCAGATCGCTGGCAGCTTTCTACGCGATTGCGGCCGCAATCGGCGTCGGTCCAAGCGATACCTGCGGCTCTCTGTCAGGTGACAGCAGCGCAGGACAAACGCTTATGAGCACTGCCCATCGTCAACGAGGCGGTGTCCATGACACGCACGTAGCAAAAAGCACAGTCGCAAAGCTGCAGGAACAACTCGCGCGAAAGCCAACAGCCATTTTGACCCGCGGCCACTGTCGTCCACGTGTCGATCCTCACACGCGCACCTTCAGACCCGATCGGCAGTGTCCACGCGGAGCAAGCGCAGTCTGTCGTCGACTCGTTCGGGCGAACACACAGCTTGTGCTTACGCTCATCCTGGCGCACGTGTGGCAGCAGGTGGGGGTGTGTGCCCCACGTGACGGGAAAAAGCCATGACGCACCAGTCATTCCTGGCCAACAGGTGTGGCATCGTAGGGATGTGGCCCGCACATCGCGACTGCTTGTCATGGATTGGAGACGCCCTTCTGTCGGCTGCAGCAACGCCTTTGCGCCGCTAGAAGCCGCTTTGCTAGTTTCTGGCTGTCGCTCGGTCTGTCTGTGAACGCTTCTTCGGACACGTAGCAGGGAGCACCTGAGCCTTTCGTCTCTTGGCCCATTTGCGTGACATGGTAGTGAGACTCGATGTTGTCTCATGGGCAGTGAGCTGCTTCGCTTTCTTGCAACTTGGTGGCCTCCGTGGACTTGTTGCAGTCCTTTTGTATGATGATGAACGCATCACGGGGTAGTGCGTGACAGACTGAAGCTGTTGGATCTGCCTGTCCCGCTCACTGATGGGACGTGCCACTCACTGCCTTCGCGAGTCGTCCAGCCTGGATAGGCCAGCGGCTTGCAGGTCCCCCTTATACGCTGTCTCATCTTCTCCTGCTTTGTTCCACCGCAGGACAGCAGCAACTGACCCGCTCGTCTGTGCCCGCGTTTTCTACGCGGCAGAGCTGCACAGCCTTTGTCGATACTGCGATGGCATCGCCGCAGGCGAATTGTATCTGTGTGTATGTGTATGTGTGTGTCTCTCTCGTTCTCGCTCTCGCTCTCGATGCGGCCCACACGCACAAGAGCGAGAGTGGCTTTTATCGCATCATAGTGCAACATGCTCTCGTGTGCTCACTGCAAATGGGACGTCGTCTCGCGCGTCGAGTCACGGGCACAAAACAACGCAGCGAGATCAAAAGTTCGCACAGACTGCGCGTTTCCCACGGAAGAGCGCTATTACAGTCGCACTAAATGGCTGTGCCAACAACTTCCGACCAGCGCAAGAAATCTCGCAGAAACTTTCCAGTGTGTGTTGACGATCACGTTGAGGTACGCTCGCTCGCACATCTGCGATAGTAGTAGTAGTAGTGTAGTAGTAGAGGCAGTAGTAGTAGTAGTAGTAGTGATGGTCGCAGTAGTAGAAGTAGTAGAAGTAGCAGAAGTAGTAGTAGTGTAGTCGTAATGGTACGAGCAGCTGCACACACGTCGCTTCGGTCAAAAGGCCTTCTCTCGCGTCCCAGTCGAGTCTGGCATTGCAAAGCGACAAGGCAGCGGTTGTTTTCTGTACTGATGGCAAACGGCGTAGAAACGGACGCAACTGCTGTCGTGCGATCGGTCGACCTGCGAAAGCTGATACTACGAGTCCGCCCCAGCACCACACACCCCCTCACGCTACCGCAGCGCAAGTGCCCAATCTCAGTCCGCCACCGCTTCCTGACCTCCTCCTCCTCCTGACACGGCCCCGACGCGTCACAAAGACCGCAATCACATCGTATGTCCAAGCCAACCTGAGAGCTTTGTACTATCCAAGCACAAAAAATCAGAAAACGACCACTACGGCGACAATTCCCACCTACAGAAACGTGCGTGTCGACGACATTCGCAACACCGCCACGTCTTGCAGCTTTCGCGTCGAGAGAGGGATCGCCCAGAGCACCGCCACGTCAGGTCGATCGGTGAGCCCACCACGCTCCACCAAATCATGTGGTCAACTAAAAAAAAGAAACCTGTCAACTGGACAACGCGCGGCTGCAACAAACACACGCCGGCCCAAAGCGAAAACACAACAGCTGCTGTGCAACCAGCAGCTGGTCCCTGCTACAGCTGCTGCTGCTGCTTCTCTACGCTGAACCCCGTCAAACTTAGTGTCATGTCGCGTCGCGAGGGGTTTGCCCCCCCCCCCCCCCCCCCCACCCCTCACGTCCCGACACCAACACCAACAACAACAACAACAACAACAACCAACGACGAAACGAGTCACGACGAAACGAGTCACGACAGACTGGGCACACACACCCCCACCCGCGCACTTTCTCTCTTTCCTGCACATAGCCAGCCCAACTCCGTCCTCCCCTCTGCCGCGTCTGTCAGTCAGTCGCGGCGTGTGTGTGTCTGTGTGTGCCATCTCGGCCCTCCCCCCCGTCTCTACCCCCGTCTTCCGCGTCGCTCGTTCCTCCCCCTCTGTCCGTCCGTCCGTCCGTCTCTTCTGCCCCTCTCTCTCTCTCTCTCTCTCTCTCCCCCCCCTCCCTCTCTCGCTGTCTATCTCTCTGTCTGTCAGTCTGTCTGTCTGTCTGTCTCTCTCTCTCTCTCTCTTCTTGAGCCCACTCTTCGCTTGCTCGCGGCCTCGACGCGGCCATTCCCCCTCACCGCAGGCGCCCCCCGTGCCGCTCGCGAGTCCGCCATGAGCACCCCCAGCGTCGGCTTCACAGTCTTCCAAGTCCCGGGCGCGCGGACGCCCAAGCGCCCCACCGGCGCGCGTCTCGGCGGCGGCCCCGTGCTCCCCAACGCCCCCAAGACCCCCTCCAGCAACAACAACAACACTACTACTACTACCAACAACAGCACCAGCAGCAGCAACAGCAATAACAGCACTGTCACTACCACCAGCAGCAACAGCACTGCTGCCACTACCAGCACAGCCGCTACCTCTACCGCTCCGTCCACAGGTGCGCTCTCGTCGGGTCTCACGCTGCTCCCGCCCCCGGCCGACCGCACGCAGCGCCACAGCACCACAACGTTCGCCGTGTTTCAGCCGCCGGGCGGCCTCCAGTCGATCCTCCAGCGGTCCGGTGCGCCCCCCGTGTCGCTCAACGCGCCCTACAGCGGTACGTCGGGCAGCGGCAGCACGGGCAGCCACAGCTCCACGGGGAGCGCGGGCGCCAATGGTCTGCGCCTCGCGACGCTGCACGCGCTGACGAGAGACGACGACGACCAGTCGCGCGGCGGCATGAGTTGGATGCGCACGGGCCGTACGATCCGCGTGAGGGACTCGGGCGACAGCTTCCGCTTCCCGCTCGAGACAGAGCATTTGCCCACGACGTGCGTCTCGGCCGCGCAGTTTGCGCAGCTCGAGCGCGAGCTCCAGCGCATTGCCGACACGCACGTCAATGCAGCAGCCACGTGGCTCGACAACCCCACGCAGTGTGCCCCGTACCGCGGCCAGAGCTGGAAGCCGTACGTCGAGAAGAAGCAGTGCGTCGTGTACCGCTTGAAAGAAGCGGCCGACGCCAGTAACTTGCAGCGCCGTGCGCTGCTGCGCGCCAAGTTGGACACGTCGCTGGACGATCTCGAGTACGCTGTCACGTGCGCGACGACCGACGACCAGCGGCTGTACATGTCGCACTGCTACCAGGACAGCTTCTTGGACGCGGCCGTGTTGCAAGTGCACGAGCGCGCGACGCGCGACGACGCGTTCCGCTTCCTCGGCATCAAGTGGCTGGCGTTCCAGAGCGCTGTGGACTCGGTCTTTAGCTGCCGCGACGCCCTCGTGGTCGAGTTTGCCACGACTATGGTCGACGCCACTGGCCACAAAGTGCTCGTCAAGGTCCAGCGGAGCATCAGCATGGCCGAGTGCAATGGCAGCGAGCGCAGCTTTGGCTTTGCCCGCACGACGGGCACGTGGGTGTGGCTGTTTCGGAGCACGGCGGGCGGGAAAGTCGACGTCTCGGTCGTCTCGGAAGACCGCTTTGACAGCAGCCGCAGCACGCCGAGCTGGTTCGCCAACCGCGTCTTGTCGACGCTGCACACGGTGGCCGTGAACCACGCGACCGCAGCCGACGCCAAGTTCCTCGTGCGGGGCCGCATGATCACCAACAGGCCGTGGGTGCCCAACAACGAGCGGCCGGCGTGTTTCGTGTGCTTCAAGAGCTTCAACTTGCTGCGGTCGCGTCACCACTGCCGCGTGTGTGCCGAGATCATGTGCGGCGCGTGCACGATCGAGCTCGGGATCCAGGCCTGCAAACTGCCGTTGGGCATGCTGCCCGAGACGGGCAACGGCCTGATCGTCAGCGTCGAGAAGTTCTGCCTCCGATGCGTCAACCGCGCGAGACAGGATCGACGGAGTGCACTGGCTGCTGCAAAGAGCGCTGGGACGCTGGACCTCGCGGCGGACGAGGGCTTTGAAAGCGGTGTGCCCATTTCCTACGCGTCTCGCGCGAGTGAGCTCGACTATAGCCACGTGTCGCTTGCGCGAGGCTTGAGCTTGGACCACGCGGCCGAGCGAGAGCTGCAGTTGCAGCAGCAGCAGACCCACTCGCTTGCGTCGTCATCGTCGTCCACGAGCTCACGCAGCGGCACGAACGGAGACAAGTCGGGCATCTCGTTTGCAGGCTGGTCCACGAAGGTCCTGTCGGCCATCAACCGCGAAAAGACAGCCGAGTGTGCCAAGAGCCAGCCATCGCTCGTCACGCTTACACCCGCTAGCTCCAGCCGGAATCTGATGGACGCAGGTGCGTGCACGCCCCGCAGCATGCGGCGAGCACTGGATGACCGGCGGCGACTCAACTCGGACGCGTCTGGTTGCACGACGAGTATCAGCTCGCTGAGCGACTGCGATAGCAATTCGGACCTGATGAGCCGCAGGACGGATCGCGACCCGATTTGCAGCGACACGGTCGTGTTACTAGAAGAGCCCAGCGAGGTGCTGCACGTGACGCCGCTGCCGACATCGTTCACGAAGATGGAGGAGCAGATAGCGGCTCAGCAGGCCTTGTTGCGCTCGATGTTTATTGAAGGCAAGAAGATCATGGAGCAGCAGCAGGGGTACAGCCGACAAGTGCACCCTGCGCAAGACCAGCGTTACGGCAGCCAGAGGCAGCCACCGAAGAGCTTGGGCGACAAGGATAGACTTGCTCTGCTGCCGCCGTCGTCGTCGACTTCTATCGAGTACATTGACTGAGTGAAACGATCACGACGCCCATTCATTTTTTCTGTCCGGTTGCAGTGTCGTTCGTTGACTTGAGCTGCGGACGCTTGCACGTTGCTGCGCTGTCGTGCCACTTGCAAGTGTCGCCTCGGAATTGTCTTGTAATTAAACACATTTGTCTCTCTCCTCCAGCCGATCGCGTTGTGCCTCACCCATTCTCTCGCTTACCAATTGACATGCAGTAAAGTACTAGTAACAAAGAGCTACGTACGGAAACCGTAGCATTGTGGAGCTTGTTGTCGTCTCTTCCTAGCACGAAATGCATCCACACAGCAGCTTTCGCTTCGGATCAGCGCTCGCGCCACTTCCGTGACGCGATGCACGTCCACATAGTCCATCGTGCAAGCTCGCAAGCGTCGTCGACTCGCCATACAGCAACTCTTCTTCGACGTGCACATGGTACTTTTGCGTAATCACACCTTGCAGCTGCGTCAACGCCATCGAGTCCAGGCCCAGCTCCTGCAGCGGCGTATTGTCGTTTATTTCTGCGACGCTCACGCCCAGAGCACGAGCGAGTTCGTTGACCAAAAAGACACGCACTTGGTCTGGCGGGACACCAATGATCACCGACGGCAGAGCTGACGTTGCGCCGTCGGCGGGCTTCCCGCGAGAACCGTTGACAGTTCGGTCCATAGACTCGTCGGCGGCAGCGTGGTTGCCGCCGTCATCCCCCACTGGGGCCTCACCAGCAATATCTTCATTGCGGTACAGTTCTTCCAGTTGTTTGTCGCTCAGCGCCTTCTTGCACCGCGAGCGAGAGATTTTGCCACTTGTCGTCTTTGGGATCGTACGAGGAGCCAACAACACGACCAGAGTCGCCTTGACGCCGTGTTCACGTGCGATCGCGCTACGGATGTTCACACATAGACTCGCTTTACTGGTGATAGCAGGATCACGAAGTTCAGCAATGACCGCCAGTTTCTCTTCGTCATCGTTTCCATCAGTCGCGTACGAGAAAGCGGCACAGCACCCTGGCCGAAGTTCTCCGAAACCCTCCGCCGTGGCCTCTATGTCTTGAGGATAGTGGTTGCGCCCTCGAATGATGACCAAGTCCTTCGTGCGTCCACAAACAAAGAGTTCTTGATTGTACAGCACACCCAAATCTCCCGTTTTCAAAAACAGTTTGCCTTCCGTGTCACCATCTACTTGAGCCTGAAACGCTTCGATTGAGGTCATGCGCATCTCGTCACCGAAATAGCCTTGCGCTTTGGAAGCACTGGAAATCCAGATCTCGCCAACCGTGCCGTCTCGTTCCTCTTTCCCTGTTTCTGCGTCGACAATACGGACGTCAATGCCATAGTCTTTCCGCGATGGTACACCACAGCCAACTATATCTTTCACCGGTCCAGCGGCGTTTCCCTTTTCCACCACTCGAAAAACGTTGTCACGCTCTAGGGCCTGCTTATCGACCCACAAGCGTTGCTTCCCACCACCGCACACATACACAGTGTGCTCTGCGAGCCCGTACGTAGGTTTCACAACGTCACTCGGCAAACCAAACGGCGAGAAAGCACGGTAAAAGCTGTCAATGGTCTCGCCTTGAATCGGCTCAGCACCGTCGATCATGTGCCGCACGCTAGAAAGATCGACGCAGTCTTCGCTGCCCGGTCTTGTGAGGCGATCGCTCTTCCTCGCAAGAAGCGAGTAGGCAAAGTTGGGGGCCTGGAGATGTGTAGCACGGTACTTGGACACGAGCCGTAGCCACAGACACGGGTCGCGGATAAAGCTGAAAGGAGAGAGGTACACGCCGGTCCCGCCGTTGTAGATCGTGCCCAGGTAGGCACCAATGAGTCCCATGTCATGGTATTGAGGCAGCCACGACACCACCACCGTGTCTCGTCCAGCCTGTAGCGCTGAGCTGATCGTACGCAGGTTGTGGTTCAGATTGCCGTGTGATAGTACCACTCCCTTTGGCGCAGACGTCGATCCCGACGTGTACTGCAAGAACGCTGTGCTGTCAGCGGAAGGCGATCGAGTAAGCCAGTGCTTTGCTGGATCAATGCCCCTGGCGCTTACGAGATCATCCGTCACGATCCACGACAGATACTCCGGCCACGGCGCAGCCCCCGACATTGTAAACTTCTCTTTCATTGCTGCAATCTTTTTCACGTTATAGTACATCGAGCACGTGAGCGCCACTCGCGCCTGGCAGTTTTGCGTCACGGCCACAAACATGTTGATATCTTTCTTGAGCTTGCGGGGATCCGGTGGGTACACCGGCACCGCCACGACCCCAGCTCTCAGGCACGCTAGAAAGACCACTATGAAATCCAAGCCTGGAGGGTACACGAGCACGACCCGGTCTCCTGCTTTCAGTCCGAGGCTGCCACACAACACAACACACACCACAATAACCACAACAACAACACGCACACACACATGACCAACTTGTGTCGTCACCACGAGCTTCCGATTTGTGCTGCAAGAACCAGTAAAAACGACAGCACAACGCACCCGCGATCGTGTTGCTGTCTCGAAGCTAATAGTACTGCTGCGAGATTTTGTACACGCCGGTTGAGGTCCTGCCATCGATCAAATGACGACAACAAGAGCGTCAGCGATTCATTCGTCCACGACATTCACAATAGATGATCGACACAAGAAAAACACTTTGTAGGTAAAGTGCACACTGCTGCAGCCCTACAACGACAACAGAGACAAAACAAAACATGCGCTCACCCCACACGTAAGTGACGACGTTACGACTTCTTTATCGTCGACAAACGACAGCATTATCTATCATGACAAACGTGTCACAGAAGCCGAGCAGAGTTGAGGCCATATATGACAAAACAGAGGGAACGTCAATAAGAATACAACACCAGAGACCAAAAACCGCTTTTTGTGAGTGTGGCTCTCTCTCTCTCGTTGTCGGCCACTACAGCGACAGACTTCTGGTCGATGGACCGACAGCAGTGCTCTGTGTGCATCGGCTCAGCTCGAGAGCGATCGTTTATCGACTCAGCGCACCTTCGTGGGCGTCTCTGCCGCCCATTTCTCCACGCGGTGTAGCAGCTCCGACGACATGTTTGTGGCACAATTAGAAACTACGAAATAGTCCCGAAGGGCGCTTTGTGGATCTATTTTGGGTCCTTTTGTGAATTCGATGTCCTTTTGTCGTGTGTTTACTCGGGTCGTTGCTTGACTTGACAGCAATCACTTGGCGAGCATGTGTGGGCTTAGAAACCTCTACAACTCGTTTGATAGATAGCTGTTTGCGTTTCTGTGGCGCCGTTTCGTGATTGACGATGAGAGAGGATACGTGTCACCTTTTGTCAATTATATGTACAAGCCGTAAACCGTGAAAATGGCGGGACGTAACGAACGCGAAGGGGTTTAGTAGGCAGACGGAGACAGCCCCTCGGGTCAAAATGCAGTGAGTGATACATAGCAGAGCGATTCCAGTGCCGTTGAGCTGCTGTGTAGCAGTAACTCGATAACGAAAACAAGTCATTGTTCGTACGGGGAGATATTGCTGCAGGCAGTGGAAACCACGAGGGGACACAGACAGACAACAATTGGTCGCATGCGTTTACGTGTGTTTGTTGGCTCACCAGAAGCGAGAAAGTCGAGCGCCGACCGAGACAACTTGACCGGCCGATTGCTTGCAAGACATTCTATCGACGACAGAAAGGGAACACGAAACCAACGAGCGGCCAACGATTCGCAGTCAATCGTGTAAAGAGTCGTGACATGACTGACGGAGGCTGTAGCGAAATGGGAAATGTACAGCAGAAAGAAGGACGTGTGCGATTGTCTGCTGGTTTGCATACATCACGCGATAAGGGCCTCAGCAACTGATTTGCACTGACAGCGCGCATTCGCATGTGCTCGCGTTTTGGCAGAAGGGTCCGTGGAAGAGCTCGCAGGTTTGAAGCGCAATGGACCGGATACCCGAAAGAAGACAGATTTGCCGGGAGCAGGAACGGATGCGCAAGTAGGTCGCTTTGGAGTCGAGTGTCTAGTGCGTACGGAGCCAGATACGTTTTACATGACCTCGAGTAGAAGCGACTGGTACTATGTAACGGGGTTACACGTCGAGTGGTAGTCGACAATAGGTGTGGTACACACAAGGGATGGGACCCCCTTTTAAGTAATATTAGAACACAAGTATCAATTGTTGATGACTGATGTCTGTCAACCATTGATTACGAGATCTTTTAATAGATTTATTTGGGACATAAGTGAGTAGGTTATTTACTTTGTTCTGCGGTGTTCTTTTAGGTTAAAAGAAGAAATAAAATTCAGTTCCCATTTTGATCAACAAAAGACACGTGCCTCTTTGAGGCGTCTTGTGATCGTGCAGGAGATAGCAACGCCTTATTAAGGCAGCCACTCCTTGTGCACTTAGTGCGTTTGATTCCTTAAATCGTTTGGTCCCCCTTGAACAGGGACCGTAATCTCTCTGAGCTAGTTGACTCTTTAAGTCGGGTTCTTTGAACACCCTTTTAGCTCTCGGAGCTGTTGACTCTTTGAGTCGGGTTCGTAGAACCAAAGTTGCTCATTGAGTGTTAAATCTTCCTCTGACTGAAGGAGCTGTGTAGGTCCGCTACATACTACAACCTGGTCAACTAGGTAGTCTACCATTGTGCGACTCTTTACGAGAACCCGCTGGTCCATAGACTTTCGTGAAGTAGTGTCTCGGAGTTCATGGCAATCAACACGTCTACCTTGGTAGTTTCTTTCTACCCAGGAATTTTCCCTTACGGTCCTTAACTCCCAGATACCTGCGATCAGTAACTTACAGGATTTGCGACTCCGTGGCGTACCTTTTGCACGCTTGCTTCACATTGTCTACCGGCTGCTACCCATTTGAGAGTCCAGTAGGTGGCGCGGCTTTGCATTCGATCCTAGCCTGGATCTGACTGTACATCTGCTGGGACTCGAACCCGTAACCTCCCGATCAGAACCGCCGTGGCCATCCCACTGCACCGCCCTGATCGGTAACACGTCTACCTTTGATGCGGGGGGGGGGGGGTCGCGACGCTGGAACACATCGTCTGGACATGCCCAAATGTGCGCAGTCCTGCTGGCAGAAACTTATCTGCCGCTGGATGGGAGAACGTTCGGAGCTGGGCCAACTGCAAGATTTTCGCACCGATAGTGCCAGCAGCACAGTGCCGACGCTGTCCAAGGTGGTCACGGACTGTATAGCGGAAGCTCATCCTGACGAAGAACGCGACTATGCGATGGTCTGGAGGAGGCTATGGCGACTGCTTAGCAGCATCTGTGCAACAGCTTTGTGGATTCAACATAATCGAGTGATTGTACAAGGAGAAGAAGTAACTTTTGCAGACAGCGTCGAGAGATTCTGGCAGACATGCGGCAGCTCCGAGCAGTAGCAAAGCGGTAGTTCCACAGGAACGAGACCAAAAGTCAAGGAGCAAGTCTGCGGCCATGTCTGCGACAACAACCAGGCGACCACGAGAACCGTCGCCCGTGGTGACGTGTCCCGTAAACACATCGAGCTCAAACGAGGTACCGGCAGCTGCTAATCGACTAAAGCTTACCAAACATCCTGCGACATTTTTTTGGGTGTTCAGGTGGTCTGTTAACACGGGATTAACCATGTACAAGGTCTCTGGTAAAGGCGGAGCCAAACGGCCAGCTTCTGTTGATCCGGACGTTGGCTTTGGCTAGCCCCTGACCAGCCTGGAGGCCCGTCAGGTGCGCGTTCGAGCAGCTCGATGCTGAATAACATCACTGCGCCCATGATGGCTGATGCCTCTTTCCGGTGCTCTCTGATCGCGATTGCGCGAAGGTGGCAGAAGCAAGAGGTCCAAAAGCTCTGCGTTGTTCCTAGGAGGTCCATCATGGCTGCGCTGTTCCTGGGAGGTCAATCATGGCTGCGTTGTAGACGGCGTCATTGCGGTCGGTCCACAGCCTCGTGAGACACATCGCCGGAAGAAGGTGCCAAATTCTCTTCCAGACGTGGTCGGCCATTTCTCGATCTTCCTGAAAGCGGTCTTGCAGGATTGCTGTGCGGTGCTGTGGTACGTGGGACACTCGTCGCCTTGCACACGCTTGAAGAAATTGCTGAGTTCGCTGTCGTGATGTTCGCTCGCGTGTCCATCGACGAACGAGTTTACCCCAGAGAGCTGCAGCATACGCGCACTCCCAGAATAAATGAGCCGGCGTCTCTTTTGCTCCCAGACAGCCCGGTCGCTTCCGACATTCGTCGTTCCTGTTCCTCCTAGCGTGATGGAGATTAAGTTGTCGAGTCACGATCCTGTACCCGGTCCAGACTTGAAAATCAGTCAGGCCAGTGATATGATCCCAGGCTTGCTGAGGTGTTTAACTGAGCACCGCTCGTTGCCATTCATCCGTGCTTGCGCGTGCTTCTCTCCGATCCAAAAAACTCCTAAACGACGGGCTAGCTTTTACTTGTAAAATGCAAGCGCTTGTCGTTTAAGACACGCGATGACGCACTCGTTAGGCGTTGTGTCAGGGAATGACCACGGAAATCGGTGGAGCAGAGGGTGCGCCTTGAAGACGAATACCGTTGTTTTTAAATCGGAACGTGGTGTCTGTTTGGCTGCAGTGGAGTTGTCTGCCAGCACCGAGTAAGGTCATGTACAGCTCCAGTGTATACCATCTGCCAGCTGATTCAATGTGACTCGCCGTGTCGGATTGAGCCCAGATTCCATCGGGCTGCCCTCGATTTCTCCTGCGCCCTGGTAATTCATGGTGTATGGCGATATACCCGGTGGAGCGTGCCGCAGGCGCAGTGGTGAATGGGTGTCCAGACGTGAACCGATCGGTATCGCCGGCCAGGAGAGCAGAAGGGATGTAGCCCACCGCCGTAATTTTCTCATCGAATGGTGTTGGGGTCGGTGCGGAGACTTATGGATGATGATGACAATTCTGCAGGTCCCGTACGTGAGATGGTGCTCAGTCGTGCCAGCGAAGAGTGAGTCTTCGATCCTGTCGTACGCCCGTTCAGTCATAGTGTCTCCACGATAATTGCGAATCCAGGGGTTTGCTGACCAGTTGAATGTGGACGAGAAACGCTGAATCTCGCCGGGCATGTCACTAACACCGGGCCGTCGCGTTGGAAAAGAGGAGGAGCAAGAAAGACAAATTCGTCTCCCTCCCACCATCTAATCGCCCTCGCCAGCAACGAAACTGAGTAGCGATTACCCAAGAAGAGACCCGCGCAACCTGGTCCGGTGTTGGGGCGAGCCGTTCGTACAGCGTCTGGTTTACCTCTCGACCTGGAGCTCGGGACATGTGAGGAGGTTGCCGACGTCCTGCCAGCATTGGAGAGACCGGGTGTTCTGTCTCTTTGGCTAGTCCACGATAAGCCCACTGTAGCCACGACGAAAAGTACATGTTCTGGCGCTGAGTGATCCAGAGAATCGCGTGCTTCGTTCGTTGGGTGTTGACGGCTGCCGACACATCGGCCAGCCCGATGCCACCCGCATGTTTTGGTGCAAAGAGTAGACCCGGGTTGACTTTGTGCCGGCGTTTGTCCGTCGTCGTTGCATGAGCATATAATAATTGATTAGATAGATTGTTCACTTCTATCATCGCCCACGAAGGTATGTCAAAGACGCTCTCCGTAAAGAGCCACGACGGTAATACAATGGCGTTTTAAGATAAGAACTAGGTTCCCCACACTTGAAGCCACTTGTGTTGCCGTAATAAGGCGACGCTGAATCTTCTGAATCCTCAGTGCCCAATTTTTATTCGCTAAGCCCCCCGTACCGATCTCAAAGCCAAGATATCGCGTTGTGCCACCCGGCGGAATGACGTCGCTTCCTTCGTAGTTTTTTAACGTTACTGACCGGTTCAAAACCAGGATTTTGCTCTTGTACGGTTGGACATGCAAACCCTATAATGCCCCAAAGGCTTTGACAATACGCAGAGCATGCGGAAGCTGTTCGGCCTGCTCGAGAAAAAGTGTAGAATTGTCTACAAACGCTGAAAAAAATGCCTTTGCCACGTAACCCCGGTGTAAGAAGCCCTTGGGTTGTCGGGTCCTGCTTTGAGGCAGTGCCTAATCTCTCTACCGCGAGCAAAAAATC